GGCACCTGGACTTGAAATGCAGAAGTATTTTACCACGAAAAAAATAGAGCAAAACAGAGGGGCGCACACGGCAGCAGGGGGCAACAGAGAAACGCAGTGCAAACAATTTAACAAGCGAACAATGAATGACCTGCAAAACAGCCAATGCAAATGCACCAACACGTGTCCATACACAACAGCAGCAACAAAATAAAAGCCCAATAATAATAATAGCAAGCAAAAAACATTGATACGGCAACCATCAACCAGCATCGCCAAGGACTGCAGCCAGCGCAGCAGCAAGAACAGAAACAACAGCAAAGTTGTGAGGCTGCAGCCTCACTTGACTTCAAGAATAAAAACGTGTTTCTGCAGCGCCTCCCCAGCAGTCAGGGAAGTGGCGATGGAAGAGCCTGGCTGCAGCACTTGGCAGCGGCCTTCTACGGACTGGCGCAGCTCCGTGTGGCAGTCGTGTTCGTGGCCCTGAAGCAGCAGAAACAGCACCTTCTGAATTCCTAAAGAATGGGCATCTCACTTTCAATATTTATTATTCCTTTGGCCGCCAAAGTAAGAAGGAAAGTGCGGAGAAAAGGGTGAATGCTGCACAGGCAACGCCGAGTCGCCGCGGCGTCATAAACCTCACACAAGGCACACCCAAACGACTATGTCTGCAAACGAAGGCAGCATTCTTTCCAATATGCAGTTCTTTGCGGGAACACCTCCGTGAGCCCCCTTGTACCTGCAGAAAGCAGCCAAGTAAATGCAGCAACAGACGCTAAGCCCGAAATACCAGGACTAAACCCTGGAACCAGAGAAACGTGAACAAGTCGAGCCAGAGGGCGTAAACTAGTTCACAACTGGAGCTTGGAAACCTAAAATCTAGACTAAAAGCCCTAAAGCCTGGAACCCAAAGATCCCTCAGGGGTAGCTCTCCCCTTCAGTTTCTCGCGCCGCAAAGTGCCACTCAGTGCAACTCGGAATCACTGGATCCGACGGGCTACAGGTAAAGCACAGCCCCTAGATGTCTCGCAGACGATTAAAATGACAATAAGATTGTCGCCGAGGGTTTAGGGTTTAGGGTTTAGGGTTTTAGGGCCGCTGACATGTTCTGGTGGATAAGAAGAATGTTGAACCAACTGTTCACGTCGCCCTCTGCGGGGACCTCATAGGTGACCTGAAGAGGCGCGAAAACAGAATTTATGATTTAGGAAATTACACTGAGGCAAAAGCTAGAGAGTGATGCTTCTGCGACTTTCATTTATTTTACTTTGTGGTTTGAAGAGAAAATAAAAGAGCTGCCGCGGAAGAGCTGCGCCTCCTCAGGCACCCTCCAGCAGAAGACATCAACAAAAAACGAGACAAACCCGAAAAAGAAAACGAACAGCCATTGCTGCGGTGGCTGGGCAGCACATGCTGTTTCTAGGGTTTAGGGTTTACGGGCGAGGGTTTAGGGCCAAGGGCTGAGGGTTTAAAAGTTGGAGTGGAGACGAACTTTGCCGCTCATGTACGCGCGATGTAGGCGCTCGTCTCTGACCCATCCCATTCCATATATCGCCAGCTGAAGAGTGACACCAGCATGCATGCAGAAATGCATGCACACACTGCCTACGCTGCATGCATGCATGCACGCAGTCCAACTACTACATACAGGCATGCACACAGTGCAAGCACGTAATGCATGCATGCGAACAATGCATGCACTGCATGCTTGCATGCAGATTATGCCAGTACTGCTTCCACAGACGCAGACAACGCATGCAGGCAATGCATGCAATGCATGCACATCACGCACGCAGTACGTGCGTGGCACTTGTTGGGAGCAGGCCTTGCATGCAGCCATTTCCTGCACAGCTGAGTAGGCAGCGCTTAAAGTAAAGTCTAAGGGGGCTCTTGTCTGCTTGCTTTACTGGCTAGCTGCTCAGGCAGCCAAACGAAGCAAGAGCACAAACTAACATGCAACTCTAAAAACCATCACAAGCAAATTCTCCAGGTTAGAGACAAAAAGGGGAAAAAAGGATTAATAAAACAGGCAGATGAAATGTGCAGTTGCTTGCCTTCGAGTCGCCTTTTTTCAGCAGAATAGGCCTCACTCGTATATCTTCAACGTTGTCAACTCGGCCAAAATAATTTATCTGAAATAAAAAACTCCCGCAGCAGCTGCACTCATCGCATGCGCGCACGCAGTCTAATACTAGAGACAGAGTTGAGTTTGTCACTTGCACTTTTGTTCTGCCTCGAGTGAGTGAAATGACGAAACACTTTAATGAGGCATTTCAGATCATTTTCAATACAGTCTTTCAAAAAATACGTATGTGCTCGCAGCTCGCAACATCGCTGTCCCAGCACCAGCCATCATTACCCCGGGTGTCTGTACAGTTGAGAGACACAAAATGAAAGCTCACGAGATGTGCTGCTTCTAATATGTCGAGGGGAGATAAGTGAGAGGCGTCGCCAGGGTCGTCTGCAGCGGCCCAAGCACAAAAACAAAAGTGACCCCAATGAGCTACGTTCACTGCCAGTTGCAGTTATTTGCGGTGTACGGACACCCCACGAGAGCTGCACCCGCCACAAAGCAAAGACGAACCGCGTCTGACAAAAGTAATTGGCGAACAGCAGCACAACCAGCAGCAGCAGCTCAGCAAACAGCAGCAACCCCAGTGTAGATCCAGCTAGTGGGGCTTGCCGCACCATGGTTTCCGTGCATGGCAAAGACGGGCATGCACACATTGACGTTTTCACTTAAGTAGTTAAGTCCAAAACGAAATATGCCCGACGCCTGCTCTTGAAGAGCGTCCCTTGCTGCACCATTCATCTGGGGGGTCTCTTGAACCGCCTGGAAGCCTCCAGCGTTGCTGCTGCTGCTGCTGTTGCTGCTGCTGTTGCTGCTGCTGCTGCTGTTCTGGGCCGGCGCGGCTAACGCAGTGCTGCTCCCGGCTGCTGCTGCTTGCTGCGTCGCTTCGAGCTCGCCGTTGGGGGCAGCGGCAGATGTAGTAGTTGACAAAACGTCGAAGAGAACAGAGCCGGAGCCGAAGCAGTACTTGCGCAGCAGACACATTGCCCGGTACCTTAGCACAGCAGCAGCAGCAGCAGCAGCAGCGGCAGAGAGAAACTAAAGAGCCCCAAAGGAGCAGCCGCTGCTGCTTCCCCTCAGCAGCCAGCTAGCACCTGAACAGCCACTGGACAGAGAGAGCTGGGGCCGCCCCACACTTGCCGCGCGCCTTCCCCACGAAGTGCTGCTGTTCTGCTGCAGCAGTGCTGCCTTTTGCTGCTGCAGCGCCACCCGGCTGCTCTGCTGGCCTCGTGGCACTTACAAAGTGGTCCTGTTGGGTTTGTTTTCGTCGAAGAGGTCCCCCGCATGCAAGACGAAGTCCACCTTCTCTCTGCGGCCAATTTGCAGGACTTCTTCGAAAGTTCGGAAGCTGTCGTTGCCGCGCACTGGGTCCTCCCCCTTGAAGCCCAAGTGGGTGTCAGTGGCAATCAAGATCTTGAAGGCGCTGTCCTCCCCCCCCTCCTCCCCAGGGGCCCCACAAGGGGCCCCGCCATCCTCTCCCTCGCCAGCAGCAAACAGCGGGGGGCCCTCATCGTGGCTGTCCTCGCTGGGCCGGCTCGCAGGCAAGCAGCAGCCGCCGGCGTACGCTGCAGCTGCTGGCGGACCCCCGCTGCTGGCTGCGCCAGCGCTGCGGAGGGAATCCGCCATTTAGCTGCTGCAAATTAGAGTTCAAAGGCTAGAGAGATATCAAATCTGATGCGGTCTCGAAGAGAGCATCAGAAATCTGTGAGATGGCCGTGCACTTCTTCGACCCGCGAAGAGCTACTGGCTACAGCCGGCGAGTGGGTGGGTGGCTGCACAGGAAGAGAACTGAGCCATGATGCTCTTACAATGCAACATGCACTGTCATGAAAGAAATCCAGTCCGCATAATGGTAAACATCTTGGAAGACTGCCCCGAATTGGCAGGATGGGGGAGCTGGAATTGGCAGGGGGAGCAGCCTGAGGCCTTGGTGGTCTGTGGTCGGTTCTCGTTGATAGAGATCCTTTCAGGATTTCACAGATTCAGATAAATCGCTGACTTTTGGAATATGAGGCAGTAACTAGTGCAGATGGAGCTGCGCTTTCCGACCTTTCATGAATTTCCTCCCATCTAGTGAGTAATGCGCCGAAAAAAAGGTGAATTTTCCCTATCCTGCTTCCGCTGTAAGTCATACAAGCACTGTAAATTCGACCTTTTCATATTAACAATTCATATCTCTATGGGAGCACCCAGAAACGTAAGGTAATCTAGGGGCCCAGTCCCAAGAAGGTACTGAGTGGTGGTTGCTGTTGTTCTTGCTGATCCCGTTGGTGTTGTTGCATTCGTTACTAGTTAAGCCTTTAGTAGCTGTGTTTGGACGTTTAACATTAACTTATTTACTTTAAGTTTACTTCCAAGCGGAACCACTGATCCCATCCATTCGAACCAGTACAGCCGACTGAAGCAGCTTCGTTTGCGTTCAGTCCTCACCATTCCAGCTGAAGTGTGTGCCAGTGTGAGATACTGTTAAAGCATTACTTCTTAGTGAAATGGCAAAAAATTTGACCTCGCTTCTACTGTGAGGAAGCTGTAGTAACGTCTTTTTCCTTGATCGATTAGGGCTAGTGCTCAATTGACGCAATTGGGAAATGAACTATGAGAAAGGCTTCAGATGATGGGCCTTTTTGTGTCTTGAGGGTATCTCTTCTCACGCTCACGTATTCTTCCCTTCCATTTACTAAGCAAATCATTAAGTACATCTTTTGATGTATGGTTGCTCAGTTTTCACTCCGCTTTCTGCCGAAAATCTCCTTGCAGCTGAGCAGACCGGCAGAGGTCAAACCTGGTCAAGGTTGCCTGCTCAGCCACACGCCGGCAGTGATCGCAAAGATATTTCGCGAAAAGTCCTTTCATATTTAGTAGGCCTTTTAGCCTATCCATTTATGGCCGCCTCGTCTCGATTGTTACTTGCTGGAAGGCCTGTGGACCGCTGCTTCTCGCTTCGGAAAAGATGCAACAGCAGCCGACTGAAACCGAGGCTGCCTCTGGCTCCGGAGGCGCCGTCCGATCTAATGATACAAACACACGGGCAACTCTTTTGAATATGCAAAGAGGCGGCGTGAAGGAAATACTGCGGAACTTCGAACGAAAAACGCAGTAAGCCAGGCACCAGCGCTGAAGCCGCTCGCAGGCAGACTGTTCCGTTCAGACCGTTCCATTGCAGCTGCAGCTGATCTGTCCCTTATCAGAAACCTCATATCCTCTAATAATAAATGTACACTGCAGAACGTTTAGCTCTTCTTAGTAAACGTACCCGACTTTCTAGGCAGGCCCGTGAATATCCAATATCCTGGCGTTGTTCATGTTCAATGCAGAAACGGACCCGTGCAGTCGGTGGGCGGTGGAACGGTGCTACGGCATAAGCAGCAAGAAGTAAATTCAACTTTCTCTTCATCTGCATCTGAGAGGAAGGTAATCAAAGTGTTATGCCCAAGCAACAGTTTGGGTTCCCCCTACATCTCGTCAAGCTCGCAGCCAATAGAATCAATCCACCACATGGCCTTGTGAAAGATAGTAGATGGGGAGCCATAGAAACACAAGCATTTGCGATGAGTTGCAGTTTTTAGCACCGCTTGTTTCATCTAAAAAGGCCAAGGCAAGCAGAACGGCGTTCTTTGCGAATTCGTCCGGCTGCAGTTACAGGAGCTTCAAAGCGTTTTGAAACACCGCGAGGAGTTGATTCGTTCCCTTGAGGGTGCAGTTGCTCAGCGCGAGTCCGATTTGTCCTTCGTGCTAAAAGAAAAGTTTCACCTTTCCAAGGAAATCGTCGCTTCACGGTCTGCCTCACAGCCAAGCGGCGGCCCCTGCCCCTTTGGTGTCCACCAAAACGCGTCAGTCCCAGTACAATCCACAACAGTGGGAAACGGAATTTCTCTCCAGCCGGCCAACTCGTGCACAGCGGGTGAGCCGCAGGCAGAAGCTTTCGCGGCTCAGCGACTGCAGCCAGAGAGCAGCAGCTGTAGCGACCCTGAGGACAGGAGCGGCGTTGGAGTGCCTTGTAGCTTTAGTGGGACCAGCAGGGGGCCAAAAAGCGACTCTCGAAAGGCCCCCAAAAGAAACGACTGCGGCGAAGCTGAAGAGCTGTCGCCGAAGCGCGTTACGTGGAGAGAAACCCAAAGCCCGAACAGACTTTCCACTGAAGAAATTGACGGAGCAGAAGAGATGGAAGGCACAGCGCCGGCCGATGCACCGCGTGAAGTGGGAGCACTGGCAGCAACTTCCCAAAGTGCAAGCAGTGCACATTCATGTCCACGACAATCGGGGGCTGCGGAAGGCGACAGTACAGTGAAGCAGGAGCTGCCTGTAGAGCCAGGACTGTCGTTTTCCGGTGATGAAGACACTGTCAGCATCGGGTTGCCGCCGGAGGCTCCTGAAAAGTCTTGCAGTGCCACCAGTGCTGCAGATCCGCGCCGAAATGAACTGAGGCCGTCTAAATGCTCTGAGACCTCTCGCTCTAAGGACCTTCTGGCAAACGCCGCAGAATACCTCGACTTAAATAGCTGGCGGCTTGACAAAAATCTCGCGCAAGCGGAGCAGTATAATGGCTGCATGGCGGTGTCAGTAGCTAGTGAAGGCAAGCACAAAGCTGAGGAGGCAAAATTGGACGAAAGGGGACGCGTCGAAACCCGCAACAACACGCGGAACATTCACTTTTCAACGGCAATAGACCAAGATCGGAAGGTAGTGGATGGTGCAGGCGAAGGGGGCGATCCAACGGACTCACCGGATCTTCATAGCGGCACTAGAGTGAGGGCCGGTCTTTTCAGCAGCACCACGTGGCCACTAGGCAGGCAGCTTTCAAGGATCTGCTTTTACTTGTGATAGTTTGTTACTCAGCAAAACTAAAAGGCCGTGCACCCATCTGCAAATTCTGCTTTTGCGAGTGCAGTTCCAGGCGGAACTGTTCTTTAAGGCTCTATTGGTAAGCACTGCCCAAGGCAAGTGCCTTGCAGCGTACATTTGATTAGGCATGTATGATGTGCTTTCTAAGTGTGGTTGGTGCTCCCTCTTCTGCACCTAAGGGCAGCAACGAAGCGTAGCTGTGGATGGGCTTATACTGCAGGTGCAAACGCAGGCCATGATTGAAGCGGAAGCGGAGACTTCAGACGTCCTAGAAATGCAAGATGGTGAGAATTTTGATTCATGCCGGCGCAGCTTCCAGCTGGGAGCTAGAAGGAGCTGGGGTGAACATTGGGGGAGAGGCGCTTACCAGTTTCCCGTTTGCTTCTAATTCGTCGATCAGCTGACTACAGATCGTGAAGCGTTTTCAAACAAAGCTGGCATGCCTCCCAATCTTTTTTATTATGTGCAGTTAGCCGCATTGTGTGAATTGTATTTGTGTTTCTCACACTGGCCGGTAGCGCTGTGTTTGTTTCGTGCGCAGAATTGTCGTCTAAGATAGACTTCCTGCAGAATGCTTTTGAAGAGGTATCAGATAACACGGAAGTCTTTCAAATGCGCCTACCCATGGAAATCAGGCGCTCTTTCATATGGAGCTGAAAAGGCGCATTGTTTGTCTCATTTCAATGTACTGTGTGCTGTCCTTCAGATTTGTCAGGAGCTAGACGCCGCTAGGAAGGAGAACAGAGCCCTCGTCCAGTGCGTACTACAGCGAACATAAATTCTGTAATTGTAAACTTCATTTTGCCTTGCCAGAGCCATACTTCAAGTCTCCATGCAAATGCATTTCTTGGTGTTTTCTTTGCTTCGACAAACTGTAACCCACTGGACGCAATGTGAAAAGCTCTGTGCCGGCGACGGGTAGGCACCGCCAAAGGCCTTCATCAGATATTGTTCAAATACATTCTGCAGAAGATTTACTTTTCGACTGCTTACGCTGTGTGGAAGGGTGGCGTAACTTAAGCTGGTGTTGCTTGTTCCGGGCAAGTTACACAAGCATAGTACGTTCGAATTCTGAAAGGTCTTGTCATGCACCACTGGTACGATGGCGTGATTCTTCACCCAACAGTGTTCATATATTCTTAAGGCTGATCTCTTCGTGTGTAGGAGGATTTCACTGAACGACACACAAAAGAACCCGATCACTGAACCATCTGAGATGCCTACAGCATCAAATAAAAGGAGTAAGCCGAACACATAAGTAGCTGCACAATATCAAGCAAAGTGGGTACGTCCAAACTAGCTGCATATCGATACTCACCCCACTTTCGAATATTTTCTAGTGCTCTTGCATCGAATGCGACAGATATTGGTAGTTGTCGAGTCACACAGTCTGAAGCACATAAGGGGGAGCCTGGACAATGTGAAACTTTCTATGAATGTTTCAGCCACCAACAGTGGAGAGTGCGCTTCGTCCCTCTCCCAGGCATCGCTCAACTTGACGAGGACTGTTGCCGGCATTCAAAAGGAGGTACTCCAAAGTAATCACCCAACGATAATAAATAGTGCAAGAAGTGTAGATCGTCTGTTGCTGCAAAATTACGCATTACAAAGCCTAGCTTTTGCTTGCCCAATGCTGTGAAAATTTTCATTTACCAAAAGCAGTACAGCAAACTGACACGTTTGCTCGGACTCAGAACGTGTCTGCGCGCAGCATCATGAAGAAAGCATGGAGGAAAAACTGGAAAAAGCACTTCTACAGATTCGCAGTCTTGAGGAAAAGTATGCAAGATCAGAGTCTGCCCTCAGTACTGCGCAAGCTGCATTGAATGAGGCTCGGAATCAAATAACGTTTTTGCAGCAAAGATGCGAACTTTTGCAGGAATTTGACAAACGGGTGAGCCTCGGCACTTCGTGCAGTTATGCAAACCCAGGTGGAATTCTGCAGCGGTGCATGCACTACTACGCCTTCTACGTGTGATTCAAAGCAGTCCATGGCTTATTTTGCTTTTTTCAGACTTGGCAACTGCTTGAGAAGTTAATGCTGAATGTAGTTCAAGAAGGCGGACCTCCAGCTGGCACGTTCTCAGCGAGAGCAGGCGGCGATGACTGAAACGTGCTAGGACTGCACGGAACGAAACTATTTGGGTTCAAATATTTTTAGTATCTTAAAAACGTTTGGGGGCCTTCGACACAAAGAGTTTTGTGTCCTTGGGTCACTGCAACATTTTGCTTCTGACGTCGATGCTAGAGCTTTCGACTAGGCAAGTCATGTTTTGCCTATCAAAGCTATTGTACAGTCGTCCTCGTTCACACATTTAGGGGCCACAATTAATTTAATATCATTGAGCATCCAAGTAAAGAGGTATTATCACGTTCAAATCAGGGAAATTTAGGGAGTTCGCAAGATCGGCTGTAGCTAGATAAACTGACACTAGTCAGGTGTATCGACACCTGCCATGAACCTGGAGAAAGTGCAGTCATTCGCGCTGCACTAGAATTGCTGCATGAGCGAATAGTTTGCCGGGCTCAGAACCGGGGATATTCAATAGTCACTATTTCATCTAGCCACCATGAGAGCCTACGGCGCGGCCCTCATTGCCGCTTGCTCCATTGTGAGCAGTGGAGCAATAGACGTGTTGGAGGGACCCGAGTTCATTGATGTCCTCCTTCCGGAAGTTGCACACGTGTTTGGAGTGACATCAGCTCATCATACGACTCTCGAGGAAATGAACCTGTAAATAAATCGGCTTACCTGACCTGATCACAGGCTGCATCAATTCATTTTCTTCAGGAGAGCCGAAGATGTATACGTCCTCCCTCGTGCCCCTAAGCTTGAAGACTGCCTTTCTGCTCTTGTTGGCATTCCGATGACTCACCAGGTACATTTTATTACTTTCTTTAGTCGTCGCCTTCAGTGCCTAAGGAAGAACATCTTTTCAGATCAAGCCATTCTCTGACTCCATCAGCATGCTCGATGTCAAGCCATACGAGAATGCTCAGTTGAAGATCGTAAGGGCTTTCGTACCTCGTTTGTTGGAGCTGAAGAATATCCGCTTTACAGGCAGAAGCGCGTGCCGCGGAATTAGCAGCTTCTGTAGCGCCGGTACTTCCTATTGTTCCGAAAAAAGCTGTCATCAGCCTTTAACTGAGAGTTTTGCGGTTCAGCTTGTGTCGCTTGCACCTAAATCCAAGTTCAACAAGTCGGCATCCTTCTTCAGCATTGAGGTTGCTCCTGGCCCGTACCAATCGACGCTTTACGCGGTCGTTCAGGCGCTAGTCTATTCCATCCTTGTAAGCTAGTGCTGCGTTTGGTTCTGCGATGGGCGGGCTCATGATCTCGTTTACCCAGGTTCCGGGAGCTCTCAGAGGCATTCGCAGAGGGTACGCTACCAACAGTCACGAAACCTCAAACGCTTCTTGATAATTTAAAAAACAGGAGATCAACTGCCAATGTCGGAAAGATGCTTATTGGCACAGCCTTCTTTGTCTACCACTCTGCCGGCATAGTGATCCTCCAAAATGGTACGAATTGCTGCACGATTTATTTTCCACTTCACTGGTAATAACGCACCACAGTGCTGTGCCTGAGGGCGCTGTTCGCCATCCCACTGGCTCTGATCTTCGGTCTCGTCGGCATGATGCTTGCGCTCAGATCTGTGGAGTCTGTTGAGCAACTGCGAAGTGTTCGGGATCACCTTCCCCATCTCCAAGGAATGGAAAGAGTAGGGTTGACATGGCTCGTAACTAGGGGAATATGTAGATCATCATATCTGACAGGAACCGGTTGCATGGTGTTCCTGCATGAAAATGTACTGCATTCTCATGGCGAACCTCTCCTACCATTTCCTTTCAAGGCAAGTTGAATAAGTACAAGTTCCATCTACTTCTATCATTACCGCTAACAATAACACAGCCTGTTGCCATACCGCTATGGTGTGGCAGGGATCCTGACGAGCAACGTGATGATCGCTGGACTGCTTTATTTGGCATATCTGGTGGTGGTCTCGTGTCTTGTACTACGCAAGCTTAGATCGGACGCTGACAGCCGAAAAGTGCAATGCCGCATTGTTTCCTTCAATTGCGCATACATTGTGGCCTCTGGCGTAACTTTCTATACTAATGTAAGATTCATTCATTTATGGGCGCCGGAAGGAACAACAGTACACAATTGAACACAGTTGGTTGCGGTCTACTACGGCGTAGGTGACTTTGTCGCCCTGGAGCCAGGTTTGTCTCCACAATATACAAGTTTCTTGCGAGCCTCACCCATTGCTGTTCTATAGCCGTATTCTTCGCCGCCAATCGGATCTTTGAGCTTAACCTGGGAACAATTGTCGCAATCATTGCGCTTCTGTCCATGTGGGGTGTTGGATACCATGAGCAAAGTAAGGATTTTTCATCAATAAGTCTTCGACACAGATTAGTACTTTCTGAATTTAGGTCAAATGGATGAGAGCGGAAAGAATGTGTCTTCAATGTCCTCCGTGGCTCTGTCCACTCATGAAGAGTCGCGCAGGGCACTGGAAGAGGCACTCCATGAAATGCGCACTGGCGTGTACAGGGAGTAATCTTGTGCACCAAAACACGTTTTCGGCTTTTGCCCCAACTTTACACAAATGTTCTAAGACACTATGCGAAAATATCAATTCCGATGGTGTACAATTCTTGGAAAACTTAGACCGCTCCCAAAAGTTTGAGACTGCTTACATGAGTAACTAAGATAGTTGTGTAGCTCTGGGACAAAAGAATGCCTGATAGTGCGATAACTATGTGAACAATATGTGGTCGCATTAGGCTATGGTTTTATGTCCGTGCAGGCCTTTCATGCAGTCTAATGAAACACATGTCACACGGTGGTACAGTTAGAGGGGGGGTCACTTCACAATCCCTCGTTGCATTTGCCTTGAATAAAGTTTATATAGTCATTTTCACCATAATACTCTGCAATACATTTCGTTTGAAGTGAAACGTCGAAGTAACATCATGCGCTGGCATTCCTCGTGCGCTTTCTCAACAGCTGCATGCAATGATCGTTTCACCATGTTCACAAGCTTTCTCGGGTTCTTCATATAAGATACTCTTTCTATTCATTATTTTTGTTGGAAAAGGAGAGTAACTCATCTTGTCTGTACGTTTTGAGGTAGGATCAGCAAGCGGCTTCATTCATGAAAGGATTTACAGGTGAAGGGCAAGAAAACGCCTGTGGAGGGCCTAATGCGTTTCCTGTACCTATTTGGAATACAAGTGACTCGGTCTTCGGCCTAAAATGAGTTGGCCTTTTACCATCTTGCCAAGCATACGTTAACAATGTTGCTTCGGCGTCGTTCAGTGCGTGCAGGCGCTGTACAGCAACTGGCGTCCGCCGAAAAGAGCATATTTAACCACGATGTATTTTGAGACTTTCCAAGCCGTTTGCCTGCTGTAGAGGAGACAGCATTAGGGCACACCTCAACGAAATGGAGCGGCTGCTCTCCAGCTCAATATGTTCTTTGGCTTACGGGTCTCTTGCCGAAGGACGAGCTACAGTGGATACTCATCTACTTGCACTGTGCCGACCGCACTACAAACCACCGAGTGCAATTTTCCCCGTGGCAAGTTATGGGTTGCCATTTCCGCAATCTTCTTCTAGTTCTCGCTGCCGGGAAGTCTGCGACATCTTATTTGCGCCGTACAGTCCGTCGCTGGCGTTGGTGTGCACGTCTGGAAATGATCTTCTTACATTCGACATGAATTGCGGCTCTTTCATCTCAGAAATTCAGTTGAGTCCGGGGAGTGGTGCAAATGCAAATAATGGCCACCGCCGTTCCTGTACCCATATAAACCGAGACCCAGGCGCCCCTCTCATCTTTTCCGGCGCTCCAAATGGCGATGTAATGGTGTTTGACGCGCGTACTTCAGGCATCACTGCAAAGCTCCTTGGGCAGAAGTTCTGTCCGACTCTCCGTCTCCCGTCTGCACATGACGGCGCTGTGTGTGGGATTGGTACAGGAATAGCGCTCCATCCGCAGCTTTTCCTCACTGGAGGCCGGGAAGACCGGTGGCTCCGCCTTTTTGACCTCCGATTTCCGTTTCATTATAGTTCTGCAGGTTCCAGCAACGGAAATCCCGTCGCGTATCCGCTGGAAGCAAGGAGGTTGGGACCAAGCGAAGACCATGGTGCTGGGTGGCGGACCTGCTTCATGGCATTTGATGTGTCTCCAGATGGATCGTTGCTAGCAGGTTCTGTTGCTCGTCATCGTACTGCTGAGCCCACAAGCATGGATCGGAAGCCGCAAGGAACCGATGGCGAAACAGTGCTCCTCAGCCTATCGGATGGATTACGCACTGTCAAAACCATTGCATCCGCTGATGCTTGCGCAGCAGACTACGTTCAGTTTTCGCCTAACGCCAAGTATATTCTGCAGACGGGCGGCGTTGGAGGAACATTCTGCAAAATGTGCTGGCACTGCGATTGCCGCTGCTCCTGTGTGTCGAAGCGCCGCGAAGAACAGTTGGACAAGCAGGCAAATGGCACTACCGAAAGCCATTATAGTATGTCTAACATCCGGGGTTGGGAAAAAACGGTAGTATCTAGCTCACGAAGTACTGTTGAGCTGGAGAGTTCACCGCAGGAGACTGGGATTTCCTCTGACTATTCACGCGCTCAGTATCGGTGCATGTATCATCGAGCACAACTAGTAAATCTTGTCCAGTCCAATAGAACTATCAACCTCAAAAGTCCCGCGGATGGTGCCGTTGCCTTCACCGATTCGTTTTGCTTGTCTCACTCATTCAAAGGGCTTCAGCAGCACGCTGCCCAGTTGGACTGGTCGAGGTATGAAGGACTGGCAAAGGACCTCACTCGACCAGTGATATCGGCTGCGGCAGGCAATGGCGGTTTCCTTCGTATTCTGCACTTCACACTGCAGGGCCCGACGAGCAGGCATGCTCACAAGTGCAGGCAAAGGTTTTGGAAGTATCTGGCCAAGATCCAGAGTTCAGCAACCACTCCTACTGGACATACTAGTTCTGGTTTTAAGGCTATGCACCGAGAAGTGAAGTGTGGTAAGGTGCGACCAGTTATGCGACCAACAAATGGAAGAGATGAGGACGGCGCCCATAGCGGCGGTGACATGCCGCTCCGCGTGGCTGGTGCTGGTTCCCATGACTCCGTACGAACGACCCCACAGATAGAAGAAGCAGCTGTTGACAAATCAAGCGCAGTTACCAAGCCGTTGCTATTTCCTCTTCTCCACCCACAGCTGTCACAATTCATCTCGAGCTGTGGGCCACTACACCCTGCATTCGTCCGAGCAGAAGCAGCAACGTTCCCTTTTAAGTGCAGGCTATGGGGAGGCCTCGTCGTCGGATATGGTGGCTCTACAGCGGATGGCTGTGGGCGTGCCCGGATCTATGACGGCCTAAAATTGTGGGACTCCACGACAGGCGTCGTACTAAGCTGGACAGAAGGCGACTTGGTAAGTGCAGACATGTTCGCATGCATTTCTGCCGTTGCTGCTGTCGCAGTAGGCGAACTGCAGTTTTCAAGTGAATGTGACGATGCGTAGGCAGGCTGGCAAACAGCGTGTTCAGGAATCCAGATCACCCCGGTGTATCGAATGGCAGAAAATTGAATAGCAAGATGCCTGTTCGTATTGAAACTTGGCTTAACAAAAGGGTATGGTGTCGGTTTTCAGGCACAAGAAGACAATTTGACTTGTATAGCACCTATTCCAGACACCAGCAGCTGCCTCCTGGCCACCGGAGGGTATCTCCCTGTTGGTGCTAGGAACTGCCAGAGTTCTTCCCCATCATCGGGACTCACGTTTTGGTCCCTGCGTCGCCGGGATGATCTCATCATGTCTGCCCTCGAGGGGTGTCTTTCCCTTGAGGTAGAGTCAGAAGACTCCGAAGCCTCCAGTCACTGACTGACAGGTCAAAGCAACGACCCTAGCCGGCGCCACAGAAAAATGTCCGCGATGTTTCAGTGTTTGCTGAAGCCGCTGGCGAACGCTAAGATTGGAGACACGCAGCGAGCAGCATAGATATGCAACTCGAACTTGACAGCACAGTGCACACAAGTTGTTTTCTCCAGCATAATTCTACCTTTCCACATTGTGTATATGCACATGCGGAACACCTGCGCCGACGAACTCAGGAAGAAGGCGTCTTTGGCGAAAATCATTAGGCTTCACATATCCGCAGGGCAACAGAAGTAGAGTAGGCACAAAGTGCTACAGCCACGCTAGTCGTCAATTACCCGTTTCCGCCTGCTAACGGGTCGGCGTTTAGCAGCACCACGTACAGCCCTGGCTCTGGGCTTCGCTTCTTTTGAAGTAGCATCAGCAGGTCCTGCTTTTGAAGCAGGAGGCTCTGATGCTGCTTCTGCAGGCGCGAACAGATCCACTGTATCTGATACACCTAGGGAAGCATTAGCTGCGGAGCTGCTGTTGTGCTGCTCGTCGTCCTCGTTCTCCTTCCTTACTGTCAGTTGACTGTTAGTCAGCGAGCCGACTGTCTCGCTTGCTTCTAGCTGCACTTGATGCTGCTGAGCACTCAACTGCCTTGCCTCATCTTCCAACTCTTCGTGCTGCAGCTGAAGCGCTTGGAATTCAGCTGCGGCAGGAGCAACTGCTTCCTCTGGGTCAGCCTGCGCATCGACAGCCATCGGGGCTGCTGCTTCTCTTGCAGGTTCAGGCGCCGGTGGGAGTGGCTGCTGCTGCACTAGCGCGAGATCAATCAAATGCAGCATCGCTGCGGCGTCTTCTTCTGTGAATCTGCACGCCGCAAGTCAGACGGGCAGGGCCGCAGCCGGTCGGCACCAGCTATCCTGCAGTGCTTCTCTTGAACTACGGGTGCAAGTGCGGCTAAAAGCAGCTAAAATTAATAATTTTGGGACTTCTGCACACACAAAGTACCCATGCAGCGGTACTTGCAAGCGCTAACCTGTTTGAGCAGTCGTCCAGGTACGTGTAGATTTCGACGGGCTTGAAGGCCCCCAAGTTCATTATGGTTAGCAACTCTAGATCAGTGAGGCCGAAACGATGCACTAAGGCGTCAAGGCACTCGCGACAATGCTTGCTGATGAGGGATAAATTTCCCCCCTGGCGGACGCCGGCAATTCCACTTGTTCTTCTGTTTCCCGTTTGGCCCGGAGGGCTTCGCTTCGTTGGGGCCTTTGTGTTGTTGTGCATGCGGGTTCGATCTTGAGAACTGCGCGGATCAGGCGGCACCCGCGCGAGGTGAAGGTAAGGACACGTCTTGCGAATATAATCCTGTACCATATGGTTGAAAGTGTGCTGGTAAAGCAGCTCCTTCACGTGGTCCAGCTTGAGACGCTCAACAGTCGGCTCGCCCTGCTCATTGGCGCCGCTTTGGCGGCCGTTACTGTTCCGAGAGTCCCCCATGGAGTCTGCAGCTGGTGCGGCGCTGCCTGGACTGGCAGAACTTGGCTTGCTCGCATGACGCAATAAGCTCTCGACGGATGGAAGCAATTGTTGCTGTTGGACTAGAAGCAGCATTACTTCCATATTAGTTATCACATCGCATCGTTCTTCCAGTACTTTCATTTTGCAGGCACAAAGGAAGAAATGAAGTCGCTTTCAGAACACTAGCTGTACTCACTACTCTTCGCGTGATCGGCACTGGGGGCTCCGCTAAGTCTTCATGAGCGTATACACTTCTTCAGCCTTGCTGCATATGAATGTGGGCTAAGTAGAAGTGAGCGCATTCGATGCGCATTCTGCCTTGCCATTGAAGCAAAAACCTTGAACGGGCTCTTAGATACCGTCCCCACGTCAACTCTGCCGGCCTCCAAAGAGTTATAAAGCGTTTAATTAGGCAAATAGCAGTGAATGATCGCGAACAGGAGCAGATAACCAACGGCGCTCAAGCAGACCCTGGAGCCGCAAGGAGGGTGTGTAAGAAAGTAATAGAGCTCCGGCGCAAGACAGGCCATTACGGAAATTATTCGTAAAATAATATGTGCTGAATGGGCCTGTCACGCGTTCATGAAAGGAAGAAGTGACTTTTGAGTTGTCCATGCATACTTCGCCGCCTGAGTTCCGCATGCTTGCCAGCCCTATGAGCATTGCTGGCATCTTCAACAGGCGAAAGCGAGTTTTGATGAATTGCGGTTGCTAGTTTTATACGATTTAAAACAGATAGACTGGAACTAGTGAGACGTAGTAGCTCCCAACTCTTTCCCGCAAGGGGATTTGGGGCCCTCTTCACAAGACCAAGCGCTAGCTCAGGAGACCGTTGTCGGCCTAGTCTTGGATGCATGTCATGCGTGAGGTGGAACAAATACCTCGTGTCTATAAATGAAGGCTTTTCACGGGATAACTGAGCAGCTCCTGTGGAGTGGTTGATGGTTCGCTCTCAGCCCCAGCAGCGCCCGAGTAGAGAAAAGCATGTGCCTTTTCTTGGCCCGTTTGTTGTTTACTGGAGATCTTCGCATAGCAGTCTACACATGGTCTCAAGATGGAACAAGTGGACTTGTTTCTCACGCACATCCCTCCAGTGACTCGGGTCTGTCTCGTGGCGTCCACCGTGTTGATGGCACTATGCACGCTTGAGATCATCTCTCCGTTCTCTTTATATATGAACTGGCAGCTTGTATTTGCACACGCACAAGTCTGGCGCTTAATTACCTGTTTCCTTTTCTTTGGAACGTTTTCTTTACACTTCTTCTGGAATGTTTATGTCTTAATCTTCTACTGCTCAACCTTGGAGGAGCATCGCCGCAGTGCGACGTTTTTGTGGATGCTTATATGCACTGGGGGCCTTCTTCTGGTACGTCTAAGCAGCAGTTATTTTATACGCGCGTTTGCAGCTGCCGTTGATGGGAAATCCTCTATAATATAAACAGATGTGACAGCCGACCCCATGTCCCCTTCCTAATTTTTTCATCGAAAACAATTTGCTCCTTGTCGCCTTTTTTGACGAACATTGTGTTTTCAGGCATTTTCATACATTTTCGGAGTCAGCTCATACTTCTTCAGCGGCTCGATGATCAACGTCATGACCTACATCTGGGGTCGACGAAATCCGAATACTCGTCTGTCCATTTTTTTTATGCCTGTACAGGCTCCTTACCTTCCATTTTTACTTGCATTGTTATCACTGTTAGTGGGGTGGAACATGGCGGACCATCTTGTTGGCATTGCAGTTGGACACTTCTACTACTTTTTCGAAGACGTCTATCCTCTGTTGCCCACGAGCAAGGGATTCCGCATCTTCCGCACACCTCGAATATTGATGTGGCTCTTGAAGCAGCCGGAAGACTAGACTGGTGCGCCTGCTATACGCGATGTTCGGACTCTCGAAGAGCAGCCGTGAGGCAATTCAGTGGACATTGAGTGATAGCAGTCACCGCAGGATACAATGGACTGCGGCTGGGCCAATTAGTACGTAACCGGACCTCTCAGCTGTCGGTTTAGAAGCTCGTGCTAGACAAATAGGAGTAAAGTTTGCGGTTTAGTAGGACTGAGCTGCACACGCCGTGCAACCACTCTAATGGGCCTTGGAAATTAGTCTAGGCTTCCTGCGAACTGGAAGGCTGCTTCCCGGTATGGTCAATTGTTAGAACTGATGCAAACAGCGGCGGGAGGCTTCTTCTTTTGTTAAGCCAACACAAGATCCGACCATGGTGGCTTCAGCGAGGTATATTCACTTGGTACTGTGGATCCTGCTTTTTCTTTTGCCAAGGGCCTACTGGCGACCAGCATAGCATAAAGTTCTGTCGTTTCTGCGTGGTCAAAAGGTGGCACGGATTAGGCGCTCCTGTATTAGTCCTACTGATAGGGGCCGGTACTTTTTCGACTTTTGCACTTATCTGTCCTTGCTCGCTTGAGTCGCTTCTCAAGAAAGAATTGCACCCAGACGCTGGGGTGAAGAGCTTTCCAGCCATTCGGCTTAACGTGCAACGAAGTGGGCAGTCAAGTGTTTACTTTGGGGGATGATACAGAAGTTGCTAGGCGCAAAGGAGTTGTACGAATATCAACAAGCATGAGCTAGTTGGAGAACCGCGCAAGTATATCTAGCAAATGTGACTGCCTTCGGTTGTGGCGAGTAGGGAATTCAGACTTGGAGATAATACACAGTAGTAACAGTCACAAGAGTCCTTGAAGCCTGCCCGGGATGTACGTAGGTTTAGCTTAAAGCTTGCGAAGGGTGGACGCATTGGTACGCATTCATGCGAAACTGTGGGGGCTCCAAGAGAAACGGGTAGCGGAAAACGGTAGCACAACGAAATAGGCAGGTATCCACTAGCAGGGCGTTGCGACATCCTCCCAGTGTTTGGGGGCTCTCACGTTGCTCATGTAAATGCTGTACAGTTACTTGCTCACGCCCCTTTGTGTATACAGGCACGGCAAAACTAAAAGGCTTTCGAGTTACCGTTAATGTTATTCCTGGTTTTGATTCACCATCTGACGCGAGGTGAAATATCTTCCACCTGCGCTTTCGTGTGCGCAGCAGCAGGAGCGCCATATTGCTGGAACCTGAATTTTGGCTAGTAATTTGAGTTTCACCAAACTTTGCGCTTCAAGCAAATGCTAACTGCAATCTTCTCTCAGCCGTAGGAATCGAAGAGGGCCACCATATGATCCAACTTCTAGCATGAATCCGCATCTAAATAATAGTCAGCGTGTGCAGTTGCATTTCTCTCACTCATTGAAGGCGACCGTATTTCAGTGCCGAGTTCTTTATGCCGCAACCAGTGGCAATTCCGCAGGCTGCGATGGGACGGCTTGCGAAACCGTTTCCTTCAGAAAATAAACCGAATTAGGCTTGTGACGACTAGTGAGTCACACTGCATCTCACTTACTTCACTAGAGGTGAAATTCTTGGAAGTTTTTGATGGGTTCGTTTCAGTGGGCTTGTCCACTGGACCTGCCTCAAGTTCTCAGCTGTGAAGAGATGAGGCGCGCCCTAGTAGACTGGGCTATTTGGAGCAAGAGTACTAGTCCCTTAGTCATGTTCTGGCATTGGATTAGTGAAGAATTCGTTGCTCTGAGCCAAACTGGGGACTGCGCACGACGTGCTCTTGTTCACAGGCAAGCGCCAGGTTTCAAATATCGTCCAAACCGAGTTGTTATTTTAAAGACTGTCCGGAGCAAAATTCCACGCAGAACGTGTCTATTGAAGTACCTAAGATTGATTATTCTTCCTCTCTAATCCTATGATTGCTCTGAGCGAGTGACGGAGCCAGGAGTACACCCTAGCTCGATCTCGTCCGGTACTTCTTGAACTGGCAACTAGAAAAGCATTCCTCATAGTCTTCTTCAGTTCAAATTTTGCCACTTTTATGGTTATGAGGGCGTCCATGGAAGAAGGAGTCAAACGCTCTGGCCGAAGAGGACCTGGCAGGGTGTGCTTAGTGAAATTCCCACCGTTCCAGAAAGACGGTTCGGGTGAACGGAGTCTCATTATGCACGAATTAACCTAAGACACATGTCGTTATTACATCAGCCCATACACACAAGCTTTTAACTGCAAGAAAACTCGCGAAACTAGTCATTTTACAAGCACTTGCGAAAGGCGTGAGTCTTAGTGACCTATCACAGATGACACGCAACTTCTTGAATTCCCCTCACAGAGGCTTCGTTCGAGAACGTGACGACTAGAAAAGTATTTAAAACACATGTAAAAATAGTTGGACCACTTTGCGGGCCACATTTGCTCATCTTTTCCAGCGTTTGCAAGTTGAAGTTGACTATCAGGCCCGTTGCCATACAAGCGTACTATTGTCTGTACTTCGTGAGAGCTTGTTCGTAGGCAGCTGCGTTCTCTGTGTCATTTTATAGTACAATATGTTTTAGTGGACGCACAAATTAATCCAAACCATTGGCTTCATCACCAACTCGAGAAAATGGCCGCGCAGGAAGCCGGCTTCGGTCGGATTTCGGACGACCAAATAGCAGCAGTGATTCGGTATTCTGACGAATGGGCATTTATCGAGTACATGCTCCAAATAAGCACACGAACGTCTCGTGTGAAGCTTCTCCAGGCCTGGCACCTGTCTCCGCCGCAGGTGGTGAACCAGTTTGAGAGACGTACAGCCGTGAGGTCAACATCGTCAGACTAAACTCCTTAGTTTGCGCCAAATAAGCGTGCAAATGGCCATGAATATGACTAAAAATTGCCAGTCTTCATGCATCGAGAAACATGTGAAGAAGCGCCCTCCCTTTGGTCTTTGTGCAGCGACGTCTGGTGGTTTATTCATTCGTGGAAGCTTCACTGCTTGACGAGGAGAACACTATTCAAAATGTCACTAGACGCGGCTTCAAAATTGACTCTCGGGGTATGAAATTTGTGCTCGGGAATTTCAGGTGTGTGGTGTTAGTCTTAACACTGCACAACTCCAGAACCAGAGCATCAAAGTTGTCGCCGTCTGTTGCCTCCTCTTGGCGGATGTGAGGCCACTGAAGCACAGCGAAGGCGACCATACGCTTGTGCATATTTGTTAAGCCTGCAGGGAATTCCTCTTCTTCGCGGCGCATCAGCTCAAGCTATAGATCCATTCACACTCCCATCATGTGGGCAGTAGCTCTATAAGGGGCTACTATTCCACATATTGCATCCTCCACCAGCAGGCAGCAAGCACAGCTGCTTCTGTATCCTGGTCCTCGACAAAAGCTTCCATATGTTCTTTGCCCTGTGGGGTCCTTCTGTTCTCAATATCAGTGATTCTCTGCCCTTTCCAGATGTGTACAAGTGTTTTAATCTCCTTTTGAGCACTGTGCTGCGCAGCTGAGTTGACGACCAGTGCGAAGGAGCAACAAAAACATGAACGCTCGGCTTTTATTGAGGCGGCGAAATCCCAACTTCTCAGTGGAGAACGACGCGTTTATGAGTTTTTTCTGTGCAAAGTTGGTGAGAAACCATCGTAACGAATTCTGCAGCGGCGCAGCTCGCAGCTGCTTCCTTTAAAGGGGCTGCAGGCTACTTGTGAGCCGTTGCATTAATTCGATAGCGAAAGTATCCCATGTAGGCTACTTGCGTCGCCAGCGAAGCAAACTGTATTGGGGATCGCTGTACCGGTGCTCCAAAAGTTCTGTCATGAAAGACTCGATTTTGCTGGGCCTTCAGGAGTAGGTCACTCAGTAGTCATGAAGGATGAAAGGGAAGCGTCAGGAGAACGCACCACGCTTCCTCAGGAGTACGATAGTGCATATCTTGAAGATGGAAACACAGCCCCTACAGAGACACTCACTGTCTTCTTTGACAATCCTGACCAGTACTTGACTAAAGGCTCGTCTAGTATCAGGAGAGGGGAAGCCATTCAGCAGATCAAGAAGGGGCTCTCCATGGCTACAGCAGGAGTGTTGCCTCAACACACAATGCGCCAGGAATATGTTGTCTACGATTCATCACAGGTTAGATCATTGCAAGACCAGCAATGGATACGCAGCCTGGTACTTCGACTTTCGCCCAGACAAGTTTGTTGGTTTCTTATGTGGCAAAAATGTCATGCCGCCGTTTGCTGAAGAACTTCAAAATGTGTCATGCAAATTGCACCTTGCGGCACCTTAGGTATTGCCAGTTTACTTGGTGCTCTTTGAAGTAGATTCTACTGAACCTGAGCTATTTGCCGTACCCCTATGCGAAGCTTGCCAGGACTTCCCTGCTTCAATATGGTGCCCAGCGGACACAGCCAAGTACGAGTGCACAAATTAGGAAAGTTGATAAGATACATGTAGAAATTCGAAAGGCATAGCAAATAGTGTTTTCCCATTACAGTCTGTTTGTGCTGCGCTCGTGCCCTCAGGCTGTGCGAGGCTTGTGACGAACGCTTACACTCCCACAACAAGCTTGTTTCAAGGCACATTAGAGTTCCTCTAAATGAGGTTAGAAGCTCACAGTTTCCGCAGATCGATGCCCTAAGAGCTAGATTGTGTTTTGAAGGGAAGCATTTAGTGCTGCTGCTTTCCTGATTTCGTGAGCGCTCAGATGCCCAAACCAAGTGGACGGTGCAAGCAGCATACAGAAGAAGCCTACGAGTCATTCTGTACAATGTGTCATGCTCCTGTCTGCCGACTGTGTCGACCCAACCACATCCACGCGGACGTAACGGGTGGCTCATCCGCCAACAATTTCGAAGGTGACTTGGGCTTGACAGGACGCCGGTAGGGCTAATGAATGAGACTTCCACTATGGTAGCATGGACCTCCATTGTGGCGGCTGGTCTACAGACTTGAAGATGCCTGCACGCGTGCACGCTTAATGCACGCAGGAACGCCCACATTAATATCGCTGTCACTGGCGTACTCTGGTGTTTTAGAGAGAGCTCGCCAACCCCACCTCATTTTAAATAAGCGCAAGACAGACCTGCAAGAAAGGCTCGAAAGGCTTCAGATTCTGATCGAGTAGGTCTTCCCAGGGTTTTGGGTGGCTGCTCTTGCTTCTTTTGACCTGCGACTGCAAAAGCCGTTGTCGCTGTCTTTGCTCTTTTCTTCAGCGGCGCTCGCTGTAACTATCGATCCGTCGAGCAGAGGTGTTACTCCATCCTGGGAGAATCAATGAATCAGCTCAAGGTGAGCACCCAGAGCTCTCTAACAATCCACCGAAACTATCTGAAAGCCCCGCAGCTAGCTAGATACATCGTGACTTCAATTGTGACTACGTTCCGTGAAAGCAGCTACTTTGCTCTATGCCTCCGCACCAAAAAAAACTATGAATTTCTTAGCTATGTTGTGAGCCGCATATCCCCCCAGTCGTGCACGGAAGATAAAATGGGTGCAGTTCTGTCCCAGCAATTCGAGCTGCAAAGACGGATGGATATGATCGAGTGGAGCGAGCAACTTCTGCGGCTTCTGCGTTCCGTACTCCCCCCAGCCGACTTCTTGGCTGCATGGTGATTCGTGATTGCAACCTGAACCCTGTGGCGACCCACTTGCCAAACTGCATCGAGAGGCTCATAAGCTTAATTTGGCTTGCAGAGACACATTTCAGTAGTGTGTTTTCTTCCATTGTGGAATAATGTGCAGGCTTCGGCAATGCCGCCTAAGAGACGAAGTAGAATCGCTCAGCGGCGACTGGTCAGACCTCTCCCAGATGGTTTTGGTGAGCTTGATACAAGATTACAACGAACTAGCTGGGATAATTAAGACCTCAGGATCACGTCTACAGTAAAGAAATACTACACCAGGTGAATCTCTTTGGTGGTATTTGTGCACCGAATATTCAGCCAAACATGCGTCTGGACGGTACGGTTGAATTTCTTACGGACTCGGCACTGCGACACAGAGAATTGCATCGGATACAAGGTAAAAGAGAATGAAATATATCACATTCCCCCGCTCGACCGGCTCGACCGGCTCAGGGCACCGGTCAAGTTTCCCCGAGGTCAGTGATGGAGCGAAGTCATTAGCCAGCAAGCCAGCAAGGAAGTTCCGTTCTCTCTACGAGGTCTACCGTTTGGGCATAAAGGGTCTGTTGTTCTTGCCTTGGCATATGCTGCTGTCTCCCAGTCACAGGCTCTGCGTAGAAGCAAGTGCCGTTTCCGCAATACACACTTTGTAGCCACTTAAGTGCCTTGCATGCAGTTCCTTCAGTTGCAATGGGGCCCTTACATACGACGCACAACATTACACAGCACTACAAACATCTAAGCTGCGAATGCAGCTATCCAGAGTACGCGTACAAATCCCTTGAAGTGAAGCACACCGCATGATCACTTTACGCGCACTTCCAATGTACATGGCGGAACTCCATTCGCCGTGCAATCCTTTTACCGCGCGCAGCGTGCATAGCAGTAGCATGCTTTAAACGCAGGTATACATGCAACCCATTTGGAAATTTAGCCGTTTGTCCGCCGCAGTATTGCTGGTTTTGCCTTGGTCCGCACGCAGCGTGCATAGCAGTAGCATGCTTTAAACGCAGGTATACATGCAACCCATTTGGAAATTTAGCCGTTTGTCCGCCGCAGTATTGCTGGTTTTGCCTTGGTCTTGCACTATTTGGTTTGCGACGGCATTGGTAGTGACGATTAACTCTTTTAAAGACCATCCTTCCTTCAAAACGCTTTGATCCGTCATCGTCTACACTCGGCTAGCATACATCAGATCGATAGCGCTGTTCGATTTAATGATTTCCTGCACTACAACACGACGCCTTATGGCACGATTGAGCGAAACATCAGCTCTGTATTGAACCCAATTCGGGTGCTAGTAAGATCCCATAGCTCCGTCGCTCCCCTGCGATACCTTGAATACGGGAGAGGCATCTTCTATCTTTGCGCCTATCTGCTGGCCTTACTCATTCCAAAACAAAACAATAAGAATTCAGCCTTGTGCACACAATGAGGCCGCGCTTGGTGGCCTTTGATCTCTGTCGCACTCAGCTCGTACGGCCTGCTTGCACTTGAATTCCATGTGGCACGGAATCAACGAGTGCGTTCAACGGCCTCCTGACGCCCCCTAGCTGCGGAAACAAACACAGGAGGATCCATCAATTCTCGAGTCTAGTGAATAGAATTTCCTGTCTTTGTGTGGGCTGAAGGTTGCTGTGTCTTGCAGACTATTAACGCGACAGCAACCTCGAGAATATGGCCCCGCCACATCCACTTCCCCCTAAGTAGACTGAATTCGGCTCAGTCACGTTATGAAGGGCCTTGCCTCTACTACAAAGATGCTTAGTATTTCACTGTCTCACCAGAGTTGACTCCTTCCAAGGCATCCAACGCGTTATGTGACCCTCCAAGCACAGCTAAAAGATTGCGGCATTCAATGAACCCCTCTGGAGCACGAAACTCACTCAGTCCCTCGCTTCGTGTACCACAGGCTGTAGTTTGTGGTTCATTTCTTTTCACAGCGCGCTCGCCCTGTGCCCCCTCGGCTGCTCCATTTCGCATCTCGTTCGCAGAATGTGAAATTCCCTGGTAATACTGCAGAACAGCTTCTAGCGGTGCAGCATGCCTCTCTCGAAGTCTTCTGAACAGCCTTAGGAAAACGCTGCGGGGAAAAGCTTTCGCTCCCAGCGATTCCTTGTATGGCAGCTGCATCCCCAAGTCCAGAAGCTCGTACCCTGGTGTCTCACGCATAACGCAGCAAGCAACGCAGCTTAGCCATAACTGGACTTATGGCTCCTACGCGCGTGCAGCGTGAACAGCACAGCGGCCGGGATCGTGTTTCCATGCGCAGCCGAATTGCTTTGGTCACCTGATTTACTGAGAAGCAGCCGAGTAGCTGCAAGTTGAGCAGTGCCAGCTGAGTCAGCATCCGTGAAAGCGGTGAGACTGGTGTAGACACTGCCTATGGAGACACCAACTTCTCCAGCTACAAGACAAAGGTCCTTATACCTTGAACTTGGCTCCCCTACACGACTAGACGAGCCAAGAGAAGCCAAAACTTCCGACAAATCTGTTGTGGTCGCAGATGCTTCTTCTGCGGAATCAATTGATGCTTCCCACTCCTCCGATGAGATACGCTGCAATGGCATGAGCTTAACTTTTTCTATGTTGCAAAGCGGCACCCAAACCTCAAAACTGTGAAGCTGCACATCTTCAGGACAGTCTTCATTGCAGGGCTTTTCAGGCTCGCAACCGCTACTGCCAGATGATTCGCCAGGAGACCCCTCAGTCACGTCTGCCCTCCTACGTTGTAGTTCCGTGTCACGCAGAGTTCGTCTGTGTAAAGCTCTGAGGCACTTTAATGGTTTTCAAACCGCGCAACACACATACGCTAGCGCTGCGACTGCAGTTCTTGGTACGCAAGCCAGATACAAGGCTTCCCTTTGAGGTGTAGACGTTCACAATTATGATGACAAAGGGATACGCCTCCATACGCCTCCCCTGGCCCCGCAAAGGCAGCATCGAGTGAACGTTCCTCCCGTGCGTCAGAATTTGCAAGTAAGAAAAACGACATCCAGCTCACCTGCCTCACAGGCTTCCAAAGCCAGTTTTCTCCATGACGCCGCACACAACCAGCCAGCACCTGCATCCAGAGTCATTAAGCCAAAGGTACACATAGTGAAAACGAGACGAAGCAGGGAGCGCTCATTTCTGAAAAGTCTATAGGACTCGACTTTTGAACGCAGCAGATCAGCACCTCGTCAAACGCCTTGTCCATAGAGAAAAGAAAATGCCGAGCTTTGCGTCGCAGATTCTTTGAGGCTGGGAGTGCCCCCGTCCCGGACTTCAGCAGAAGGCACATCCGTTCTAGGTGTAACTTAGGCAGCAGCAACGTTGTGCTGGAGTCTGCAAAAGAAAACAAACTACAGGAAAAGCAGGCAAAGAACTGACTGGAGAACCCTCAGTTTGCCAGTCCGTCGTAGTTATAGAGCTTCGCGGTCTGTTTTGCCGTCTCGCATGCCACTGGGATGTCGAGTACTCTACATAATTCCGCCTCCATATCTCTGTCTCAAATTCATGCAATATTGCGTTTGGTTTGTGCGCGGTGAGATTCGACATTCGCGTACCGTGTGAGTGTTGGAAGCACTCTGCTACTGGCAAGAAGCCAGCACGACAGAGCCTGGCATAGGTGCAGGGAGAAGCCTCCTTTGCCCACGCAAATGAGCCTAAGGCATGCAAGAGAAAACGTCTTCTATTGAGCACAAAGTGAACCTGTGGCGTTCCTTCGGATAGAGCTCGGTGAAGCGTTGCGTTGAGCTCGATCTGTGGATAGAGTTAAGAAACAAAGCTAAGCTCTAAAGAGATACTTATACTGCTGCCAACCATTCTGCCTGCTTCCACACAAATGTCTCAGTGAAATATTCAGGTCCTGAGGAAAGACTTGCCTGGGTAACCGCTCTGTGTGATTGCCTCCGCTAGCTGTTCCTCATTAGTGTTTTCTCCAACCATAGGTAGTTGTGACAGATAAGGGTTGCTTCTCAAGACAGCGGCTAGGCGGTTGGCTGACGGAGTGGAGCAACTACAAATGCAGCAATGAGAACACCTACACACGCGATGCTGCCGCTGTCCATTTCGCCCATTCAGAGCGCAGTCCTCACAGACGTATTTGGAACAGCCATGACGGTGCCGGTCACCACAACTGTTGTATGAGGGGTTACGAGCGAAGGGGACGCCCTCATTAGTGTCAAAATGGGCGCAGCTGGCCGCAGCACTCCGGCTTGCTACGGAGGGCATCGCGGAGCATATGTGGCTTTGAGAGGTATGTTCAGCATTATGACATGAGCATTTACAGCAGCAGCAACAACCTCTAACAGCAGCATCTGACAAAGAAGTTGAGGCACACAATGCCATTTTCTGAAACGGCTCCACACAAGCGGGCTCCTCCTGGAAGCGAGTATTTAAGCCAAGTTTTGCAGCAACTGTTGGCACTTGACGCATTAGCGAACCTGAAAACAGTGTTGATCCCTGGAGAAGAATTCGCTGTCGTCGACGGAAACACGCTACATGCATGCTCATTGACCGTGGGACGGGCTGCAAGCTAGGGACGGTGGCCAACACCGTTCATGAAATCGCCCCACAACTAGCATTTCATTGATAAATGTGCTGCTCAAAGTGACAAAATGTAAAATTTAGGGCCTTGCGAGGTGCTGCAATTACGAGGGTGTACCGCGAATATCAGCTACCGGCCTAGGAAGACAGAAGCGAAGTGGCGTGCTAAACTTCGTATTGGCAAATGCAGCGACGAATCCAGCAGAGAAATCAAATTGTGGCAAGAAAGAAGTGGGGTGACCATGGATATCTATGAGAGAGCCTAGAAGGCCAGTGAAGCAATTGTCGAACCCTCTTAACAGCAGTCCAGTAGGGGCTAGGGGAGAAACACTATGGAGAGACCCGACTTGGATTAAACCAATGCTGAAGATTTCGATCAGGAAGGTGCCGTAGTTACCTACTGCACTACAGGGGCGGTATGCGGAATTTCGGAAAAGAAGGGTTGCTGCATTTTCACGAAGGCTGGGACTGCTGCCCTAGCAGACACAATTCTTGTTTGCCCTGATGCAAGGGAATCCACACATGAAGAGCCGAGGTTGCCCTAAGGCTACTAGAAGCGCAACGCGCTCTTCGCCATTCACAGTCTCCTACTTCGGTTCTCAGACCCCGAGGGACGTAAGTTTCGTGCAGATTTATTGGTAGCACCTGAAAGTAAAGCAAATTTAGTGCAAAAGCCAAATACGCACTTTTGCTGTCGGAAACTTATTTAAGCTGTGGCCATTCACAAATATCTGGACCGAAACACGGTTTCTCGCCGGAGGCATATGAGACATCTGAAGGTGCAGGACGCAACCACAACCCCTAACTCTGCAATTCAGAGCCTGTCTTTAATGTTTTTCAAGGCCTGCAGTTCAACATTTTGGGCGCAGCTCGGACTGAGGTAGGCGCTGCTCAGCCCACAAGCAGGAATTTCCAGAGTTACAGTTGTGCAGCAGAGCACAAAACATCGTCCTCTTTCCCTCCTGTCGGTGCTTGCAAAGAAAGAAGATGTAGAATTGCCCTGTAATTGAATGCCATTCCTAGCTCTATTGCGTATTAGACAGTATTTGCTTAAATCAACACAGTGGATAGTTCACGCATTTTGCTGAGAGTAGAAGTTCATGAACTACAGTTAACTACGTGGAGGTACCCGTGTACCTACGGTGGTGATAGTTTCAGATAAGGAAGTAACCGCAACCCAGCGCAAGCCAACAAGCCAGGGTCAGGGCGTGGATATAGGCCACCAGCCAGATCCTTCTGCGCTGACTCATTCAAAAGGGTTTTTTAATGCAAATCCTAGCAACAACGTCTATTAAGCTTGCTTCTTCTGTCTTTCTTCCAGCTTCACATTAACTGTCTTTAGCGCTCATCGGCTACTTGACTGGTTTGCAGCTGCGCCTACCTTGCAACTGAGCGGCTTTGCGCTGTACCTTGATGGCACACGTGGGTTATTCCCTCTGTATCCGGGCTTCTGTAGACGCTTTTTGTTTTACTACTGCTCAAAATCAACGAAAATGCGTGAAGTGACTTTTTAGCAGTCCCAGTATAAGGGGACTTCGTCCATCGGTTGCAATGCAAGAGGTGCAACCCTGGAACTGCGTGAGGGACACATATTGCGGGCGTTAAGATTACTTAAGATCATTCGCCCTGTAGCGTGTACCTTGAGGTTAGAGGCAGGCCAATCACAAAAGCCCGAGAGTCTACTATTCTACACATAGGCAGGCACAATAAATTTGGGGCTCATGGAACTGCGTTCTGAAGCATGCGCCAAAGCAATTTTGGGTTTGCCTGCCGAGTTCTGACAAACTTTACCAAATCAAGTCCGCATTGAAACTGCGCGTGGGCAGCTCACCACAAACAAATGCACTTCTGGAATCTTCCTGAATGAAGCTGCTGACAATGCTTGGACTCAATCCGCCGCTCTACCGACAGGGAAGGCTTGCTCCATACACTAAGGTTTCCCTACCTGAGTTCCTGGATATCTCGTATCATCGTCTTTGTGGGCCCACAATAGAGGAATGATACATAATGAAGCTCTAGAATCCAATAAAACTGTAATTTACTATAGAGGAGGAGAACAAAACCAACAAAGGGGACAGCTGTGGTGCGTTGACGCTTGACTAGAGGCGCAGTGCTAGGGGAAGAGTTCAAGAAGCAACACACCAGCTCAATACGCAGCAGAAGATAGCTAACAAAAAATGACAAATATTGGAAAAATTTTACTGCAGTCTTTACAGGTGGAATCAATGTTGTTAGGGCAGTTGTTTGGCAACAGGTCACGCGGATCCACTTGTGAGCTGCTGCGCAGTACAATGGAGAAAGACAATGTGGCCTTGGGACGTCATGCAAGTCAAAAAAGCTTCTGCAATATTGAATTTAGCTCTATATGTTGTATTCAAGATGTGAGGATGGATAGATGCTGCAAACGGCTTTGCAAGCTGGACGAGGTTGTGGGACTGGCTGGTGAGTCATGGATTCCGTAGCTGACATAGACACTGCTCACCCCAGAGGCAACTCAACAGCGCTCAGTTCTTCGTTAGATGATTTTTTTTAAACTTTTGTAATTCAAAATCAAGTCAGCGCTGCGAAATAAGTATTTGCGCAGTTTATATGAGATGTTAAGGGAGTTTAGGTTTACTAGCTTTACAGAGCCCCCACCAACCAGGGCTGGTTTCCTGGAGCGTGTTCCTGTCGCTGAAAGACACAGGTTCACTTGCCATAACTCTCCCTTCGCCTTTTCTCTATCAGTGAGTGATGTAACACTCAAGTAACTTGTCAGCTTATTCTTGAAGCAGTCATGGATGCATTTAACTCAGTTGACATAAATTCACACCGGTACAAATTGTTCTCTCTTTTCAGTGGCCATTTCCACATTTCCACCTATGTATTCTAGGCTTAGTCTCCACAGCAGTGTATGCTGGCGCAGGACAGAGAAGTGCGCACCTCTCCGTGCAAACGGGGCTCAAGCTCCAAACACTGCTTATCTTCCCGGCCTCCCTACTGACTTTGACGGCTCTTCCCTGTTCATAAATCTTCTTTCATCTTCTGTGTCGACTTCTGATTCCCTTTATTCATCGAGCCGCAGAAGGGAGGGTAGAACACGTTGTGTGGCAAACTTTCATCCTGACATCATTCATGTTTCTCGCGGCTCGCGACGAGAACTGCTTACCTCATTACTCGCTACCAACAGTCGAGAGCGACCAATCATATGCATTCTCGACTATTTTTGCCATAGAATTACTTGGTCCCTGCTGCGTGTATACATTCGAGACGGCTCTTCATGAGGCAGTAACATTCAGGAGCGAAGCCTATGAAGCTCTTGCTTGTCTCCAGGTACCACGGGAAATGCTTTTCGTGTATTTCCGTCCCCTCTAGCTCTTAATCACCTTTCATTGGCAGAATGAGGAGCCACGTGCTGAACATAGAGCGACGGGCGCCAATGTGGGAGGGGATGGTGAATGAAGCAAGAAAGGGTGAGGCCATTTCCGCGTGACAGGCAAAGCTGATACCAACTCAGCTAGAGGATGGTATGAGGGGGAGCATAAATTACTTCAACAAAGAGACAAAGATAAAGGTGGGGGCACAATAGTAGAGCTCTTCGTCCCCATCCGTCTTTCCAGGGATGATTAACACAGCAGCGAAAACCAAGCGTCAGCCCATGTGCGCTAGTAGCGCAGCAGTGGAGGCCTCCCTTTGCGATAAAAAACAGGGATCCACACACGGCTGAGCCCCGATGGCAGCCGACAATTGAAGGACCAGTGGGCACAACGCTGCACAGTACTTGGACGCTGTTGATGCAGAGTTCTGCGTACTCGGCCTACAATCGCAGTCGCGACCTTCGTCGAGGCCGAGAACGCGAGAAGCAGCTCTGCAGTAGATGACTACTCCCACAGCACAGGAAGTGGCCGTATGCAACCTAATGTTACCAACATTGAATGGATAGCTTTTCGCACGGAGTGCATCTGCTGCCAACTCATGAGAGTGCCTTTTCGTGCTCCCCGTTCTTGCTCCTTTTATTCCTCGTGTGACTCGAGCTCAGCAGGTGCAGGCCTCCCTCACCTGTGTTTGAACCTACTTTGCTTCTTCTATTAACTAAACGACCTTTAGACAGATCAAGGTGGGCTGGGTTAATTCGGTGGATACATTTGGCTTGATGTCTGCCATTGGCCTTTAGACAGAACAAGGTGGGCTGGGTTAATTCGGTGGATACATTTGGCTTGATGCCTGCCATTGGCAATGGGCCTGGCCCAACGTGCTGTAGCTTAACTACAATCTGCATGCCTGTTGTGCATTGCACAAGAATCTTCCGCTTGCGGCTCATTTCTAGAACAATTACGCGTAAAGTAAGAGCGGTAAAAGTATGAAAGGCTTGGCGCTATGTATGCGGCTTGTGCGCAATCTGTATATCTTTGGCGCCAAATGCCCATTGGTTTTCTTCGGCAGCGCGCAGGATAGTTAGGCAGATTAGGTGAGCAGCTGGCCGTCGTCTGCTAACAGACGTTTGCTCACACAGAGCATCCAGTCATTGCTCTTTTTGTTTACCGCAAAACCTTTCATTGCCACATTTCTAGCCGTGAAGCCTCCCAGTGCATTGTTCTAGTGGATTACATGATCTGCATGCAATCCACTAGAGTGGTGCATCTGCAGCACTTTCTGAGCCCATCGTACTCTTCTAACGTACCCTGTTTATGAACCGCTGCAGAAAATGTAATACAGCGCACTAACGAAGTGTTGCAGCAAGGTATATCCAACTACGACTAAAAGGCTAACCGCACATTAGACTTCTTCACAGTACGCAGTAACTATGATTGTAGACAGTGCAAAGCTTGGGGGCAGTGCCGAAGACCATCACGCTTCAACGAACCTTCTCTTTGCACTGTTTGACCCACATGCAACGATATTATTTGTTGCAAAAAAGGAGGCTTTACTAGTTTTTACGAAGTTTAGGCGCACGTGCACACAAAAATAATTTCCTGTTTTTATATAATTGCGTGAACTTATAGCCGCTAATTAGTAACGCGGCGCATAATTCTTTGAAGGAGAGCTAACTCTTCAAGGACAATTGTGTGCGCTGCAGCAAGCGTGAATACATGCGACACTTACGCGGCGCTTAGTGCATCCTGCAAGCAGGCGTGTTTGTGATTCGAACATAATTTGCGCCAGCAAAAACGCCTGCACCAGCTTGACGCTTTCTTAAGTGGCTGGAAAGTTCCGGTCATCTTCTCTCCACGGATCCCATTCAGGCTTTTTAAAATACTTGGGACTGTCAGGTCGGCAGAAAAGCTGGCGTTTCAACTCAACTATTTGAGCTGCGGTAGGGCGCCTCCCGCTTTTGAATTCTTCAAGTGCAGCCACCAAATCACGAGCAAGCTGGTCTCTGTCGGGTTTAGATTTTCTGATAGAAGGCTTAGGGAGTGGCGTAGCCAGTGTTCTCCTCATCAACTTTTGCCACCACGTGAACTGCCTCATTGGAGCACCAACGACTTCACAGATGCTCCACAAGCAATCCACCAAGAGGAAACGACGAGCCAGTGGAATCAAGATCCACCAGCCGGGAAGTTCTCTGCTATCAGAATAGGGCAGCGACATGATGTTTCTTACCAATTGCTCACCAATGAAAACGAGCGTTTGCGCATCATCGTTAGTAAGAGACCTCTTCTTCAACAGACTATAAGCTTGCAGGAGTGGACTTGCGGGAGACTTGCGAGGAGTATAGACAATGGCCCGATTCCAACTAAACGGGGCCACAAGTAGACTTCCACTAGTTCGCGGCAAACGATAAAACGGGTGCCCTTCTAAACCCAATTCTTCAGGGATAAAAGATTCTTCACGGCTTTCGGCGTCTCTCTGTTGCATCTGTATGCAGAGTTCAATCATAATTAGCAGACAACAAGGAAATGACTGAGCACGAGAACGGGAAAGCTCAAGGGCAGAACCACAACACAAGCAGGTGGACGTTGCACACCACTCAGCTCTTGTATAGAGGTTCAAAATTTGGCGCATCGATCACAACAATACATAATGCCATTGGTGGCCCAGCAAAAGCTACCCAACTTCGATGTCCTAACCGCGGAAAGATCTGGGCGACAAGGGGGTGCCACCAAAAAATTATTGAGAGGCTAGAGTACCCATACAGAGGACCTAATGCTGGGCTGACGTGAGTTGACATTTATAAAAACATTCGAAGAGGAGGGGTCAACTACGCTAGAGGCAAAGAATCAGCTGCCTGACAAAAAGCAGAGTTGATGGAAAATCGTGGGGTCCTCTGGTGACTTTGGTTTTTGTCACGAGAGCGTGGCGTGGTGACTTACAGTACGACGTACAAGTGCTTGCAAGAAACCCGCTTCTAAAGCTGCGTTATCGGAGCTCTCAGACAAACCAGCAAAGCTTGTAGAGGGCCCAGAGGGGAAGTATTCTTCTTCCTGAAGTCGTAAAGGCGCATCATCATTCACTACCGAAGCAGTAGCTGTGAGAAGATCATGAATGAGCGATGCACTGCTGGCAGCAGTTGCGGGAGTTCTGAACAAAACTAAACGATTGCCAAGAGGCCCTATTACTCCTAGATCGGCCAAAAAAGTGCACTCCACATTACAGGCACACCAGAGATTCCCTGTGGCATTACTGCAGTGACAAAAGCCACTACGAGCAGTAGGAATTCAAGGATAAGGCCTTCCCCTGATTGCGAATTAATCACTTGTCGTTCAAACATGGTGAATGCTGTGCCAACACAAGTACCTGCAACGAATGCGACGGCGAACCAGGGTGCTCTTGTGCCGAATCGCCTCTTGGCTGGTCCGAGAGAAATTGCCGAGGCTCGGGAGACCCAGGAAGTCGTTCAGAAGGAGAAAGCTTGCCGCTAGTTGCGCTTGGGATCCCAGAACCTGAATCTAAAGGGCCCTCACTGGCAGTATCCTCGCTTGGGCTGCCGTCTCGTCCGGGTCCAGGCTCCACACCTCCACTAGGAGTAGCTGCATCCTTGCTTGAAGAAGGGCCTGATGGCCGCTGTAGAATGTGATCAAGAAACCATTGGTCAATCGATAGAGTAGGCGCCGTTAGCAACTCGCCTGTTCCCATCAAAAGGCTGTCAAGCCATTCACTTTCTTCAGTAACGTCGGCGCCTCCAGTTTCTGTTTGCCGATCTTCTAATTCTGAAGGCTGTGATTCTGCCGTAGAGGCCGCACTTTGTTCCTCCATGTCCTCCGTTCTGGATTTTTTAGCCTGGTCTTCTCCTTCATCTGTGCTTATGAGCCTTTTCCTGCCAGTGGTGGTACGTTGAACCCCGCCATCTACACTTTGCAAAGGCGACTCCTCGGGCCCTGCGTCACTCGTACTTTCTTCTCCTGAGAAAAGCTGCCGGCACTTTTCTTCATCTTTGCCGTCAGCCAGCTGACGGGAGACTGGACCAGGCGATTTCAGCGAAGGGCTTGAAAAGAAACAGAAGTAGGCCGTCAAGACAATGGAGAGAATTGCTGCCACAGCATAACCCACTAAAGATACAGAATTTAATCTTGCTCGTGAAGAAGAAGGAAAACAGGGGCTGCCATCATCGCCATTGTCGGCTGGGAGTGGAGGCGAACCAGACCGATGAGCATGGTAAGCCTCCTGCTCGCCCACATGCTGAGGTTCACTAACCCACTCAGATATTTGCATTTCAAACACAGTGAGATAGCTGGATATGAACTGTAGGTCTGGATTCCACAGCCATGCCCATGCAGGGCATTGCAGCCATGAATCCAGGACAAAGTATACTCTTAGGAACTCGAGAGGAAGAATTCAAAGAAATCAACAATTTTTCGCCGTCAGCTTGCATTAGTAAAGTGGAAGCGTTGAAAAAATATTAACACATTTAAATAGTGCGCTCTTCACAGTAGTTACTGGGCCGTCAATTGCACCAGCTCGGCCGCATTGCAGCGAACAGGTGATCGTTCGCCGCTTCTCTGAATGTGTGTACAAGCACATCCTTCCAACTGACCAGACTAATCTACATTATGGGCCTCATACCTTTTTTCTTCTTATTTATTTCTGCCAAACTATCATGTGCTTCATCTGTACGGAATCATTGCAGAGTTCCGCCTGAGGCAATGGCATGCTCGTGCCAGCTTGGAAACTAGTGTTCGGTTCAAAACCGAGATTGGAGGTTAAGAAATAAAATTTCTAAAATTTTGAGGTAATTTTTTGGTATCTTACAATACTGACGTGCCATTTTTTAGCCACAAAGAGTGCAACAAAGGCAGCAGAAGCCCACAGAAACGGTGAACGAACAGTTCTGACCTTCTGCACCTCACGACAAGTTGAGGCCACGACCGGAACCTACTATTCCTGACTCAGTATTAATTTAGAACTAATGAGTAAATCATTTAGAGGTGATCGAGACTACTTTCAAGATAAAATACGGAAATGCAGCACGCCCGCAGTGTCGATGCAACTATGGCTGGATGTTCATTCCCCGCAGCTGCTCCTTAAGTAACTTCTTGAGCTGCATATATATATATAGCCAGGAGCTCACTTATTCGTTTTTAACGAAATTTCACTCGCAACATACTTCATAACGGGCTGTTCATGGACGGCGTACAAGGGCGAGCTTGAAGCGCTGCATAGTGCACTTCAGCGCGGGAATGGCCGCGATAGACCATAAAATCAGAATTTTATACGCGTAAACCAAAGCTTACTCACAAAATATGTGAATAGGCAGAGCAATGAGCGTGGTTAGACGCCGGACCTCCGCATCATGGCCGGTTGGGGCTGGCAGCGACTAGCTGGCAAGCAGAGACTCTGTGCACGCCACGGATTCCGGCACTGCAAACCGTGCTCAAATATATCTAGCTTTCCTTTAGAACGAGCGGCTTTCTTAAATACATGCTTGTGTTACTTTAATGTTTTTGTTAGTTTTGTACGGTGTACTACAGAGTAGGCAGGTAATGTTCGGAAATAGTGACTCGCAAGCTGGCCTTCCTGGAATCCAATAGATGCTGTTTCGAGATACTTGTGGACCGCCCCACAGCTCACATTTATATTCAGCTGTTCACATCACAGCATATTGGGACTTCAAAAGAATAATATTCTTCAATGTGGGATATGCGGCTTTGAAACGAACGAGTCGCCGCATCGGAAGGGCCCTCACTTGAGAAGCCTATACCGCGAGCGCCCAGCGGATGCTTTTCAAGCTTCCGACCAAAATAGTTTTTAAACAAATTCACGTTTCCATCTAGGGTACATTGGGAATGATGCCACTACGTTGCACCATACGCGTTTGCTGTTGATGTTGTAGCTGCTAGCCAGGTAACCGTTGGTTAAAAGCTGATCGCTGACGTCGAACTTTTACCGCGACTGAAACATGAATACCTGGGTAGGACGTTTGCAACGCATCTAACGAGGACGGTAGCTCCACGAATTTCTTCCTGAGTAGAGTGTAGATCCGCTTCAGCGATGTTCTAGTGATGTTGGGCTAAACTTACGATGGTAAAACCAGTAGCTGTTAGGGCACTTCATGGATGTACACCTACTAAAGAGGATGCATTTCAAGAATACTGTAGGTATCAGCGTCATGGAACTGGTAAGGCAGCGGACTCAAGGGAGATCTTGTATTGCGCAACGAAGTAGTGCCAGCGAGAGTAGAGTGGGCGCGAAGTAACGAGAAGTATTAAGCAAAGTTGGTGCCGTACTGAGGCGAAATGTCACTACAGATAAAAGTAAAATGTCGAATTTATACCGCGCAAAGCTCCTTCGGGATTCAGGCTAGACTGCCATGGAGGAACTCCTGTGTTGAGAGTAGAGGTCAGGGAAACCGGACAAGGAATTATCCAAAGTGTTAAGAGCAAATCAAGAGATCCAGTAGGTATGCAAGAGCTCCTGTGTGCAGTACTCTAGTGCACCAAAGAGATGAGCTTCAATGTCATACAATTCGGGACGTGAAGATCCGCATGATAGCTAGAAGCAATTGCCATGCAGAAAGATTCAGGACTCGTATGTTGAAGCCTACCGGAACCTGGAGTTAACTAAACGGTTCGGGGCTGACAAGAGTCACTGAAGCCACAGTTTGCTGCACGCTCACTCAGCAAGAGAGAAGTATCGGAAGCAAACAGAAGTATCCTTTGAAACTAAAGCCTGAAATGGCTTTGCTTCGATCTTCTAAATCTCCAGAATGTAAGTTGCGTGAATAGCCGTAGGTGTCGGCATATGCAGCCAGACCAGGAAAAACAAGCACGAATCCGCTTGATGGCTTTTGCTCAGCTCGAGTATCTATACTGTTACCTTCCTCTCTTCATTTGACCGCATTCACTCTTCGAAATGGGTGTACGCGAAGGCGGCCGTGGCCCATGGCGTCCTTATTGTCAGCCCCGCTTTGTAAGTAGGCTGAAAACCTAGGCATCCAACTGCAATGCTCCGCTAGCGAACGCAGGCAAAGTTCTGAACGCGCTGCTCACAAATGAATGGTAGGTAGCCTACCCAAAGCCGGCAATGTCATTATGGAGTCGAGTTCTGTAGTGCACTCCGGTGTTGTGTTGCGTTAGCCGGCGCCTCGCGCAGTGGATTCTTGATAGGCACGCTGGCCTTGGACTTGCGGTTTGACTTGTATCCTTTGGGGGTGAGGCCAAATAGTATAGTCTCCTCTGCCTCATATGGAGGACTTGCCGGGGCAGTATTTCTGTAGGCTTCGTCTGCTGTGCTCCACGCGTGCGCCTTCTGTGGCTGTGTGCCCTTCGCCTTCGTTTCTTGTGCTTTTCTGATTGGTAGACCACACCGTCGATTATGCACGTCGGCTAGTAGCCTGTCGGACTGAAAGTGCCACCCCACCTTATGGTCTGTTAGCCAGTCGAATCTGAGGACAAACTCATAAGGTACAGCTAGCACCGAGAAATACCCCACATGGCATTCACTCGCACACCACATAGACAGCCCCGTGAACTCGTGGTCGTCATGCAGGGACTCGCTCGGATAATAGTCGATGTGCAGGGTAAACGTCCGCAATGTCAATCCGTCAACTATTATCCGACTAATGCAAATATGCAATGCACCCGTACTGGGAAGCGCCTTACATTCATTCCTATGTATCCCAACGGCATGTACCACGCTCAACAGTGGCCCCCAGCTCTCATCTGCCGAGTCCGCAAACACCTGCACCACCACTGCTATGTGGCTTCCTGTTCATCACTTCCCGGAGCCGCATGCGGTTTATCTGCCTTGGTTTCTTTTGTAGCCTGCGTGCAGGCAGTAGTTGCGGTGGCAACCTTCACCTCGAATAAGCTCTGTTTCTCTTTCTCAATGCACGCCATGGGCGCTGCTGTAGCTCTTTCAGCTACTCCCGTCCCCTTTCTCTTTCTTTAACAATCTCTTCTTCCAGCTGGGTGAGCCTTCAGTGGGATTCGGACCTGCGGCGGGGGCACACAGCAGGCTTTCGCCTTTTCACTGGTGTATAGGAGATTTGCCACCCGCAACCACAAGGCTTTGTTTAGGTGGTGCTGCTGCGCTTTCTACCGGCATGATCTGTTAAAGCCTCTGGCACTTCCTTAGTACTGTGGCGTTGGCCTGGGTAGTGGCACAGTACACAGCGTAGCGTCCCACACGCCTGCATGCCTTGCAGGTTGCCTAAAGTTCTCATGAGGGGCCATCTCTCGTCAAATGCCCTTTGTGTTGCCCTTGCACCCACAAGGCAATATGCTGTCCATGATTCCGGTAGTTGGTTTGTGTGCTCTGTCATTTTCGTTGATCTAGAGCAGGTTGAACCGTGTGAGTAGTCCACCGAGTCAGGACTCTAATTCGTTCTCACGTCCCTTAAACTGCTGCCAAGCTTGCTGCTGCTTCTCTCCCGTCCATGAAATTGACGTCTCCGCATTTTGTTGGCACCCTGAGTAGCTCGAACAGCAAGTGAGCCAAGTAGTACCCCACCTGCTCCGCTGAGGCGCTTCTCCCTCAGTTGCAACAATCTTCACGAAGCCAGCCAAGCATTTTCCGTCGTGTTCGTATTCTACGGTCTCATTTGTGTGGCTGTGGCTCTGAGATCTCTGGAGGCCTTTGCCCCACGGTCACACGTTGAAGATTTCCCAGCAGCTGCTCCATCTTTCGGTTCGAGCGGGCAACGTTCGCGGCTTGACGCCTGCGTGAAGGGGCTTCTGCTCGTTGCCATCCTTCTGCTGGGTGTCGCTGGTGTCTTGGTAAGCTAGGCTTTGGCGTATCGGGACTTCCTGCTACGCCGCTTAACTTTGCTTGTGGGCTCCGGACACTCTGGACGTCAGGTAGAATGTGCCCGCTCCAAACGTGCATGGTTAGTGCACGCTCGCATGCTAGACACCATGAGTCTCTCGGCTCAGAAACGTAGAAGTTGCAAACGGTATTCCATGTGTGATTTGGAGAAGTATTTCGTGGGAAAGCTGCCATATTTGAATGAGCTGGGCGCATCTTTGCTCGCGCGCCTCCCTTGGTCCGAAAGGCTCATGCTTCTTGCTGCCCAGAAGAATACCATTCAGCATTAGTAACATATAAACCGCATTATTGCAAATCCTGTTTAAAGAGATACGAACGTCTTCTACCAATGTGTTCCCGTTGCTGCGTGAGCGTTGAGCAAACTGCAGCTTTAGTCTCTTGCTACTTCTGCCGTGCACATAAGGGCGTGCTTAATCCTGCTGCTTATCACGTGACTCCACACATTCAATATTTTGTGACCCTGAGGGCATTTCTGGACTTTATTGTTCTGCTGCGCAAAACAAAGGCCGCTTCGCGGCACGAACACGTGATTCTTTACTGCTTGGGGTGTACCACAGGCATAGTGGTTCCATTAGTAAGGCATATATTTGCATGATAGATTTTCAGCAGGAGTATATTTCGGCTGGTCATAAGGCTGCAATGACTCTATGAGTGGTCCATTTGATGTGTGCACATACGCGCGCAATCAATTGTCTTCCTCTGCAGCCCACCTAAATTGCATTTCCACTCAGTCTTCGCTTTTATTTTGGGTAAGCTATGCACAGTTGCTTCAAAATCAACACAGTATGTAATTTTTTCTGGCTTCGCTGAGACCGATCTTGCCTGCTCAGGATACAGTGATGCAGTGTCCGAGCTTCGGGGAACCTCGAGCCTATTCCGGGCCATGGTTTCGAGAGTATCCGCTTTTCTTGGGAAAATATTATCAAATTGTGTGCATATAATGACATTTTCCCTATCAGCTACGAGCGGGTTTCTGCATCCCTCGCCTCACTGCTTCTTCCGCGCAGCCATCTCCCTCAGGTGCATCAGGTTCAACACTCGTATAACGCACGTCCAGTGATTCATTCCCCTTTTTTCTCTTGTGGCATTCAGTTTACTTTTGCCCACGCAGTAACAACGCCTTTGTTGCTCGTCAAGGGTTTACCAAAGCACGTGTGTCCTTTCCAAGTACAATAAAATGGTTGCGTGAAAGAGTGAGTAGATTGATTCCGAATACAGCTTTGCGTTCGAGCATGCTTCGAAACAGAATGCTCCATGAACACTGCCAAGGGCAGAGTACACTGATGGTGTGGAACTAGTTTGTTCCTCCCATTTGAGGCATTTCACCTGTAGGAAAATAGCATAGTTAGGCGCAATGGAACAGCACTGGCGTTGGTGGCAACTTGTCTTAGCCAGAGTATGTACTTTATGTCGGTGAGGTCGCCTATCTTATTGATGCAGCGAGTATTCGAGCTTCCCCATTTCTGGGGTCAGTCTCAAGAAAAACGGGCGGAATACTTTCTGCATGCTGTTCCAATATTTTCCAAGCATTCTGGGTGCCGAGTTCACTTTCTTGTGAGGCATTTACGTGTCTTCTTTGACGCAGTGATGCTTTACAGCTTTTCTGCTACACCATTGTGGAATAGCAGAACACTGCCAATCTGGTGCCTTGCTGGATCTCTTAAAGGACCCGCAGTGAACCCAAGGGCATCAAGTTTTCGCTTCCATAGGAGGGCTGCGAAGCTGCGTGGCACTGCATGCAGGGGCGAACTGATTCCAGGCGACGAAAACGGATCCATATGATATTCTCCACTGTAGACAGCTGTTAAAGAGACTTGTGGTTCCTGTCGATTTTTGGGTGTGGTAGAGAAGTGGTTCGGTTCGGTTCATCACAAAGTGCATGGTCCTTTTTACTGACACAGTTGAGTGATAATTTGTTATGCGATTACCGTGTTGCATAGAGACTCACAGTGCACGTTGTTGTTCTTTTATACCATTTCGAGTGGTCAGTTGCTCAAGCTGCTTTGTCTTCATCGACTAGGTTGTAGAATTAGAAATTCTGCGTCCTGCCTGATGTTCAGTCCCTGTGAAAAGTTTTGCTTTTCCCTGGAAAGCGTCAACATGATTTTGTGCATCGTGAGTTCTTGACCCACCAGTTTCGTGCAAAGTCCGTGCGTTTAATGTCTGTGATGTCAGCCATAACTCTGGCAGTCTCAGGGACAGCTTAAGGCACTTGCCAGTGAAGCAGCTACGCCTTTCCTCTTTTCGGCGTTGCTTTTCAGAATGCAGCGACAATGATTATAAGATTAATCGTTTTTTCTACGTACAACCGATGCACCTTGATTCTCTCTTGAAGCATTAGACACCGCCTCCTAGAAGGGTCAGCCCACCTTCATCTGAAGGACACTTCGCAGTGCGTCGTGGACTGGTGGACTCCTTATGACAATAGTGTCATTGTTGGATTAGCATGGAACATAGTTTAGCTTGAGCGCTGGATACAATAGGACAATCAAGAGTATCAGTTGATGACACCCAGGGCAATGATGAGTTGCAGGTTACACTTTGTCCGCTGAAGTCAGCCGTCAGTTGTCCCAAAGCAGCTACCGAAACCCCATTGCTGTTTAAGTTTTCAAACTCTGTCGCTCCTTTTCTTATCATGGCCATCCAAAACTGAGCAATTGATTAGCTTTCCTCAAAGATGAAAGAAACCACAATGTAGCAAGGGGGAATGAGATACTCATTGTATGCTCGGCAAGAACTGGCTTGTATCGATCATTTCTTTCCATGCACTGTGACCATTATGGAACAATTTTCTTATTTTTGTGAATCCCTGAGCCAGCTCTGTGTGCTGAATGGACGGGTTGTGAGGTTACGTACGCAAATGTATCAGGTCTGCATTACATGATCCTACTCCGTATGTAAAAGTGTAGCACAGTGTTATACACGTGATTGGGAGAGAAGGATGATTGCTTTCATTTATTTGCACCTAATGTTTATACGGATGTGCAAAACTACATTATTAGCTTCAACCCTTACCTCAGTTTGCATGTAGCTGCGGCGTACCCCACCGAAATCTGTGTAGCGGAGCGCAACATCATATCGGTCCAATTTCTTTGAAGTACTTCTCTGTAGAAGAAACAGTGAATTGGATCATAGATGACTTATTGATACCTTGTGTGATCGGGCTCCTAGCACTTCGTGCTGTTTTGCGCAGATGAGTCTTGTGAGACGCATACGGTGTTCTACGATAGAGACCAGCCGTGCCTGTTTTCCATAGTTTTCCTGCAGTTCGTTGACTTCCATATATGCTGGTGCACAGTGAAACATATACCCAGTGCCTGGAAGAACTATGAGAAATAGTAGAAATCCAATGACAAATGGAACTAGCGCGCACTGGCGCAACCCTCCGCTAAGCCTCCAGTTACACCGCCCAAACAGTCACTCCCTTGGGAACTTGTTCCTCTGCCCAGTTATTTCCTCTTAAGAAGGCCATATGGTAGCCTAGCTATCAGTTTGTTTCCTTTGCTGTGGATTTGGGAAAGGATTAGAGCTCTTTTTTGTCCAGAACCAGAGCACCACTCGACCGAGCGCGCAGATCATTGTTCTACATTCTCGTGTACTCTCCAGAAATACCTGGTGATATGGCCCCTTTCGGTATTTTGCCTTCCTTTCTGAAATGCAAGCGTCACCTTGGATCGAGCACAATCCGCTCGTGGAGGAGACGCTGAAAGGAGGAAATCGACGATCCGCTGCACCTCCGGGCGAGAACTATAGCATGCACGGGACGTATTTTCGCTCTGCTCTTCGTACTAAGCCAAAATCCAAGGTCATAATTTTCGCTGCAGTTGCATCGCTTCTTTCCCTTGCAGTGACTGTCTACTTCTGTCTTTCACGTTTAAACCAGGGGAACTCAATGGAACTAATGAGACGTCGGCTCGCCAACAGTGATGAAGGCGAGCAATATAGACCTCTAGGGAAAGCTCAGGAAAAGTGCAGGAATCTTCTGCTCTCAGAGGAGCAGGAAGGAAGACGAGAATCTGCAGGCTTTTACCTCTCGTTGCTGCTTTCGGATGGCCCAGAGGATCGGAACGGCGTTCCCCGTAACCCCAAGAGAAAGCGCAGTAACTCATTCGGTAATGAACGGTTAAGGCAGCATAAGAGACCGCTGTTGGAAGGACAGGAGAGTGATGAATTTGGAGCCTTTCACGGGACAGCAGATCCGCTTGAAGGACCTTCCATGGGCCCTGGTCCACTGATAATGGGTGGGCTTTACCCCAGTAGTCTGCATGGTATTCCGTATCCGTATGTATATACATACCCACCACAAACTTCCGGAAATTGGGTCTCCCAATCACCAGTAGAAATGCTGGGCTCCACAAGGCCGTTGCCGTGGCTGAACCCGTACGTTGAAGAAACTGCCGAACCTGAAACATGGTTTCCAGATCAGTTTGGACATCCGGCAGGGTATGAATCAGTTGGAGGCACCATAAGACAATATGAAGCTTTTCACGGCGCTGAGAAACAAAGTCCCATTCTGGCTGCTGGTAAAAGCACAGGGCCGACAGCGATCTATGGCTCTGCCACAGAGGCCGACGAAACCAGAAGAACCACGCTGCTTCTTCCTAATTATCAGCCTAGAACAGACAACCCGAAAGATCCTGATTTTGCAGAGCCGGCAGAAGGCGGTCCTGGACTCCTGAGTTCATATAATCTCTTGTCAAGGCTTAGTCTCTCATCTGGGAGTACCTGGCAGTCGGCCCACGGAAACGTGAGTTCTACGGCAAACTCTGATTTCGCCTGCAGCACCTCATCTTCTACGCACATACACAGTGTACGTCATGCTTACGTCAATGGTTCTCGCAGCGGCTCTGTGTAGACTTTGGCTAACAGTGGCTGACGCCAATTGTCTTTGCCGCGGCAGCGTGAGGCTGTTTCCTCGAAAGCTTGCCCCGCATTTCGCCTCATCTTTTTTGAATCTTGTCGCGTATCTGGGGAAAATGCTCTCTGTCCATGTGTTCAGCTACAGAAGGATCATGGAGCCCAAACGGCAATTTACGATGCTGCTAAAAGTCAATTCTTCCATCCTGGTCAAGTACCAACGGACAATACGCAGCCTAGCGTGCTCGAAGCTTCTGTGGTGAGGCAATGACGTGCATCATCAGCGCGACAGAGTGCACATTAATAATGCGGTCTCTTCTGTTATGCACGCTCATCTTACTTAATATTCCTGCAATTAGCTCAGCTGTGGGCGCGCCTCTGCCTGCTCATAGTGTCCTTCACTGGCGCTACACTATGCGTAAAATTTTAGTTCAGATGATAAGTGTTGAACCGAACATACTGTAGACCAAACACCAATGTTGAAACTGAGTGTTGTAGGAACTGGGAAGGTATTGGCGTCTGACAATATCCCTAATATACGCTGAACCAAAATCCAATGTCGACACTGAGTGTTTTAAGAACTGGGAAGGCTTTGGCGTCTCACGATATCACTGCTCTACCTCTCTTTGACGCCCGATGCTGCGCGCCCGCTTTTCGGCTGTTTTTGATGTTCTATTACAGAGTGTCTTTTGAATGAATGCTTACTTTCGGTGCTCTGTGTGCGTCTGCATCTTCATGCAGTCTCCCACATCTTCTGAACCCTCTCCACCGTGTACAGGAGAGTGTTTTGATGACCTCTTCTACGCTCGCCATTTGTTCTATCGTCTTCCCACGGCCGACATGGGGGGGCGGACACTGGAGTTTGACTGGGAAACTGCTTTGCTAAATCCTACTCGTTTAAGCCTTGTTCAGGTACTGAAGCCCATTCGGCAGCAGTTGTTGAAACCGCGGCTGGACTACTCCGACCTTCGTACCCTTTTGCGATTAGCCGAGAGGCTTGTTAGCTATGGAGCGTGTACGAGGACTATTGGGACTGGCCGCATTTCGCCGGCCTACCTAGCAGGCCCACTGGGGCGTCGTTTTATCACGATGGATTACCTGTGGAGCATTTTCGAAGTGACTAAGGTCGAAACTATTAATCGACCTTGGTGGCAGTCGCTGATGGAAAGACTGTCGGACGTAAACAGCGTAATGTTCCCTACCGTTTCCCGTGCAGACAGCCGGTTCCAATTTGTGTTAAGATTGCGCTCCGCTATGCATCAGTACAAAGAAGGCAAGCGACCCCCAGCTCGTGAGGTAGTGGAGCTAAAACAGGAACTTTTCTGCAGGGAAAATAGCCCAACAGTGTTTAAGCGCCATGAGTGGGACCCATGGAGGCAGGACAACATCTTTGCACCAGAGGAGAACTAATGGAATACAGGGGCAACGCTGAAGCCATGGAGAATGTGTCACCTGCAGCAGTGCGCCGGGCAGCCATATGTATTAGGCGAGCAACGGTGCATCTTGGGAAGCGCGTGCCCTCCGCACTGTTTGCAGAAATCCAAACAACAGACGGCAGTTCTCCAATTAACGTAGCGTAAATCATATGCATGTGGATATCGAATTTGCGTGCATCACTTACTGTTTTGCGAAAGAGTTGAGCGATACCGTGTCAGTTGAAGAACACGTGAAGAACTGGAGGCCGCAGGCTTGCTAAGCAGTCCATGTGAATGAGAGCTTAGCCGCTAAATTTTGCCAGAGTTTCATATAGGGGCCTGCGAATGATAGGTTGACAGAGCATATCATTTGGAGGCCCCTACATGGTACTCTGGCAAAATTTAACGTGGTATGCTGACAGAACTGGCAGGTTGGACTTTCCTTCGGAGCCACAGATGCAGCCGTGGATGAGGAGCTGTGTGTTAGACAAAATAATAAAAGAATTTTAGGGCAGTCTTCAGACCAGATACTTGTCAAAGGTTATGGATCATGGCGCAGCATATGCACCACGATACGCACATCGCGTCGGAACTAAAGGCATGGCATCTGCCTGTTTTTTTTAAAACTACCTTCGACGGTTTTGATTCAAAAATATTTCTGCTGGAGAATTACACTGTATAGAGACGGTTCTGGGGTGGGGTTCCATCTGATTCCCTGACGGGCGGACAGTGATGCTTTTCTCTATCAAAAATGCGAGGAATCATGACCATCACTTCCAACAGAAGCACAACTACGCTACAGGCGGTGCTCAGAGCTTGGCAGTTTTGTGCATTTTTGGGTCATGGTCGAAAGGAACCCACCGATGCCGTAGGATCTACAAGCAGTATGACAGCTCTTGGCAACAATTGCGAAGGCAGCGGGTAATGCTTTCCAACGCGTGAATAAAGAAAGCTGTAGCGCATTCAGTCAAAGAAAAAGTGAATTTCTTTTCATTTGAAGTTTCAAGTTATCCCGTACCTCAAATAGCAGATTGGGCGCTCTTCCGCAGATAAAGCTAGGGGTCTTCGTGTGGTCTTGATTTTAAGGGAAAGAATTTCAGGCTTGCTTGCTAGGGACGCACTCTGTATCATCCGCACTCACAAAGATGTCGAAGCCGAACAAGCTTTTCGGGCCTACTACATGTTATGCCTGACACTGCAGATTTCTTGAAGGCATTCGCAGTGCATTGTACCAGTATTGCAAGGCAAATCCTTGACAAATAATCAACAGGCACTGGTGCAGAGATATCGAATATATCCGGCTCTGATAAGATTGCCTGCGCGGCGCTTCGAGTCACAGCCAATAGAAGGTCCTTCGAAGAAAATTATTTAAACTAACTTCTCTCTGCATACTTCTTTTTAATTCGAAGCATCATCAGGGCACCTGGCTAGCGAGCTTTGCAGTTCGTCCCAGTCCGCAGCACAGTTAACCGCCCGAACATCGACGCAGAGAACGAGTCGATAACCGACAGGCATTCCTCTGCACTAAATAGCGAACCCTACATTCAGTAGAGGTATTCAGAGATTTGGAGGAAGTGGATTTGCATAGGTGGATCCAGGGATGCACGAGCACGAGCCAGCTTAAGTACTTTGGCACAGGGACCTGTAGGGCCAGCTGCCATCTGCGCCTCTGGTTTTGCCGGTTGTCTGCCTTCTTCATCTCGGCAAGGGCAAATGCGTTGCTGCTGCTTAACATTAGCTACCGGCCTGCTGTTTCTGTCACTAATTTTGTTTCTAGAAATAGAGAGAGAAGCGGAAATTCGGCCGAGAATCCTTCCCCGGCTTTTTATTGCTAGCCCTGAGAGCCATCTTGGGACGTCAGCGTGCCCTAAAGAACACATACGTGACTGTAGATTTACAATGAGATACCTAACATTATACTCCTCACTAATCTGTAGGCTTGCTTCCATCTGCCTAAAGCTTGCAATTCCCAGAGAATCTTTTTGCATGCAATTCATTGATTGCCCTGTGGAATTCTTCCGGACGGGGGAAGCAGATGAGGAAACAAGGCAACAAGAGGCTGACTAACGGAAAAAAACTCCACGTATGCCTGGTGCAAGGATGAGTCGTACCTGTAGAATCACATATTAGCCATGCGAGGACAGAAGACTCGGCGGCCTGTTGCAAATGCATGCGTGTAACCAGGATACCGGCTGAAGCATTGATACCTGTCCCAAAAAATTTAGAGTACACTATAGCGGCTAGAGAAACTTTACATGCGTGCTTAATTGTACTGGTGGCTACCGCCCTACCGACCCGTCTGTACATCAAGAACAAGGCCATTGGCTTGTAGTCTTTTTAATTTGCAAACAAATGCTGGGGAGGGTGCAGGCAATAGCTCACAGTGCAGTGCACCACGCATCTAATCATTTATCCCCTGCAAGACGCCTAAAGTGACTAGGAAGCTGTGCGTGATGATTAAGGCAGCAAACGTGCTGCACTAGTGCACTTCGGATGAAAGACACCGTTTTAAAGAACGTACTCGCCTGATTTTAATGCTCACGGTTGCGAGGAAATGCAGGAGTCCCCCTAGGCTGAGCCCCAGAACCTTGCTTGTATTCTAACCCAATTGAGCATCTCCATCCCTTGTGGTGACCGGCCTGCTTTCCTAACAAATTCTCTAGGACTCGACCGAAGCTTTTCCCACGATGTTTTTAGTCGTGATTAGGACCCTATGAGCTCCGTATCTCAATCCTGGCACCACAGTAGCCATTTCTCGTTTAACGGGTTCTCACTTTCTCCCCATTGGCGTAGAACCTATCTGCCTGGGTTTGTGAGGTGGAGCTGCTTGTGGTTTCTTTCCAAGTTTTTCGCGTGGTGAAGCGTAGGTGCCTCGGGAGTAGCGAAGCCTGTAACTTTTGCCGCAGTACGGCTTTGGTGAGGCCTTTGAAAAACCTAAAAGATGATCAGTTACGCATGGCAACGCATGAGTGTCATAGTGCCAATGCTTTGGAAAGTTGCACTCGTTGAGTTGCCCGAGCGCCTGATTAAGCTGTTCAATGATGCGAAGCGTCCCGAACTTCGCAGCACGCTTACACAGACAGTTGAAACCATATAATTCTAAACGAAAAGTATATAAGAGTCTGTATGCTCTGGAACTGGCTAAAGGTAGATTGGGGTGGTCATTGGCGACAAATGGCAGTGCGCAATTCAGCAGCCGTCCAGAAAATTAGAGGTGACTTTCTATGAAAGCAGGATAGCTGAGTACCCTGCAAAGATAAGAACACCACGTATGCTTTATTTGGTCGAAAAATCAACTCTTAGAAACCAAGAATCATAAATACCTTAACGAGTATTTATTGCCTGGAGAGTGTGACACGGGCTCACTGGTAAATCATTCACCACCTCCCAGTGTGCATCGATGCCCGTAGATCCTCATGAACCTATCGGTGCACTGCGGGCAAAAGTATCCCTTTTTCCCTTGTTACTTTGCATATTGAAATAATTTCTTTGTTTCAAAGTACATTTCAACTGAAAGTGGTCTCCATACATCGTGACAGTGCGCTGTGATGGGACACAGTTCGTTCTCATGGCGCAGCTGCCGCAGTACACCGAATGCTCGTCTCGCGATTTTCGTCCTTCCGCGCTTCATCTAGACAGCTACGTACTTTTGCTCAGTGTGAAGAGTAGAAGATACTGCTGTTTTCTGGGACATGCACATCTTACCATGGGCTCAAAAGCTCCCCTCAGCTGCGGAACAGGAGGATTATGCTGCATCCACGGCCGAGGCGGCGTCGATGCAAAACGACAACCGTGTCGTACACTTCGCTACTTCTCCTTCTTCTGTTTCTAATAGGTCAAAGCTAACAAAGAATGTTTTTGCCGCTACTACATTGCTCCTTCCCGTGCTTCTTTTTGTCTACTTTTGTCTTTCTTCAAGGAGCAAAGGGGAACCGCCAGGGCTGCTACGGCGGCGACTCGCAAGCGTTGGCGATGACGGAACAAATATATTCGGTTCCAGACAATCTGTGGAGGAATGCGAGCAGTTTCTATCAGCAAATATTCCGGTTTACGATGAAAATACCGTGGGCCCTACATATCCCGCAGTGCCCTGGGAAGAGTTATCGCGCACAGAAAATAACAGAGAAAGCAGGCGGAGGAAGCGTAAGAGCTCTATCGATGGGGAAAGACACTGGAGAACGGATCCCTGGATGCTGGACACACTGCCATCAACGCAGGTCGCAGACTCACCAAATCCCTTCATGGAGCCACAACCTCCAAGCAAGAAGCGCACTTTAGCGCATGCTGGCAACTTTTCAGACCAGCTGCATGCCACACCACATGAATTCGTGAGTAACAGAAAGTTAGAGTTGAGTGGAACAGCTGAGGAGACGATGGCTGAGTCCGGCAGCACCAGGATGCCAGAAAATCCTAGTAGCTGGCTTTTTAACTCTCTGCTCGGCGTAGAAAATACTTCGCTTGACTGCGTCTCGGAGCAGATCGACGGTGAGGCGAAATGTAGCGACGTTGCAAGAGGCAATTCAGGTGAAGGGGCAGCTGCTTTATTCTACGAGCTCGGTGAGCAAGGTATCCAAGGAGCGGACATCCTTCAGTTTGGAAATTTTCCGGAGAGTTACAATTTGCCTCCTAATCATTGTCCTGGAGAAGCGGCCAAAACGGAGCCGCTGCAGGAGGTTCCAGCCTTCCTTCCGCCGTCACACATTCCAGATCCCACATCCCACGATATAGGATTGAATTCCCAAAGAGGCGTCAACGCCACGCTGTGCAGTAATCTTGAATCAAGCTCTGATGAGCTGCTTCTTCCCCTGTTAAAGCAGTCGGAATATTACTTACCAGGCAGCACCGTGGAACAGCAAAATAGCAATAGGCAGCATCTTGATTTCACACTTGACAGTTCAAGAGAGGAAGGTATTGGCCTGCCGTTCGACACGCTGACGAATCAAGGCATCCAAGGTATTCAAAAAGCAGGCGTCCTTCAGCCTGATGAGATTGTGGGAATTGACTATTTGCTTTCTGGGCAACATGCTGACGAAGGCGTCAGTGTGGCGCCACTGCAGGGACTTCCGCCCTATTCACTGCAGTCACACATTCCAGAATCTACGTCTCAAGAGCAAGACTTGCGTTCCAACGAAAACGTCAGAGCCATGCTGTGGAGTGACCCCAAGTCAAGAGAGTGTGATGAGTGGCATACTCACCTGGACCAGCTGGGAGATTCACTACCAAACAGCTCCGTGGAACAGCAAAATAGCAGGAATGTGCTTCCTGGATTTGCACTTGACAGTTCAGGGGAGGAAGGTATTGGCTTGCCCTTTGACAAGTTGGCAAATGAAGGCGGCCAATGCATTGAAAACACAGGCATCCTTCAGCCTGGTGAGACTGTGGGAAGTAACTATTTGTTTTCTGGACAATGTGATGGCGACGCCGGCAGTGTGGTGGCATTGCAGGGACTTCCGCCCTATTCACTGCAGTCACACATTCCAGAATCTACGTCTCAAGAGCAAGACTTGCGTTCCAACGAAAACGTCGGAGCCATGCTGTGGAGTGACCCCAAGTCAAGAGAGTGTGATGAGTTGCTTGCTCACCTGCTGGACGACTTGGGAAATTCATTACCAAACAGCGCCGTGGAACAGCAAAGTAGCAGGGATCTTCTTCCTGGCTTTGCAGCTAGCAGTTCAGGGAATGGAGACATTGGCTCAGACCCCAACTTGCTGGTGAACCACGGCACCCAAGGAGTAGGCATTCTTCAGTCTGGAAGGTCTTCGGAGAAACATCATTTTATTCCTGGTCAGGATTATGGACAAGTTGTCAATGTGATGATGCCGGTGCACGGGCGTGCTCCCCTTTTAGTGCCATCATCCGTTCCACACTTTACAACTCATGACAGCGGGCCCAATGCCCAGCAAAATGTCAGTTCCACACATTAGCATAACCCTAAATGGAGAAAGCAGCGCGTTCAATGCTGTTCAACTACTTGATTCATCAATGTAGGTTTAGTCCTCATGACGTGTTCTTGCTGTTTCCCCATTCGCTCCAGTTGAGCCAGTGAAAGTTGATACCATACTTACATTATCCCTGTTTTCAGGTACATCTCGCTTCCAGTACAGAGCCATGGAATAGTGCTTTTGCGTTTTTGCCCACATTTTATGATCCCAAGAATGCAAGCATGGTATCCATATCTAATCCGGCTAAAAAACATCAGGTGAGTCTCTAGCCCACTACACTACCAACAATGCAGCTTCCAGATGCGAGCTGCTCAATTAGGCGGCCACTGCTTATTTCACTTTTATCTGTCTTTTGCGGTTGTGATAGTGTTGATACGTGTGACATCACCAATTAATATTCATGTAGGCGTAGATAAGTGGCTGGCTCTGATCGTTACGAAACGCCGCTGCTGCAAATTATCCAGTGTGAGGTATCGTGTTGTTTTAGCAGCTGAATTTCCCAGCATGTCAAGTCTCATTGTCAGTAGTAGGATACTGGTGCATGCTGCTGTTGTTTCGTTCATAGTGGCAGCAGTTTTAAGCAATGATTTTGATTAATCGTCTTTGTGATCAATTTGGCCATGCTATTATTTTCCGCTCATTCAGTTTCTTGGTCCTTCGCTGGCCTCTTGTTCTTGTATGTGCGTTCATGTTGAAGGCACAATCTCGTGCAGCCTCAACTAAGGAAGCCGTCATTTCAGATGAGGCGTGCAGACAGCACCCGTACTGGAGACTACCGAAGGTCAGCCAGAGACTAGAACACAAGAGGTTTTCTTGGGAAAAGGCATTGTTCAGCAATTGCCGTGAAAAACTTGTTGATTTGCTAATGCCTGTCCGCGAATTGCTAGCGAAGCCTGAACTCGAAGAAAAAGAGCTTGCAACCCTCATGCAACTAGGAGAAAAGCTACTGAACGAAGCGGTTTGGTCAACAACCATTGGCACTGGGTCGGACATATCCTGGAAAGTAGCACAAGGGTTGGGACGTCGTTTTCTTGTCGCGGACTACTTGTGGTGCATCTGTGAAGTGGTCGGGCCGCCAATGGAGAAGGACGCTTGGTGGGGCAAGCTGATGGGAAAGTATCTACATATTGGCTACTTAAAGTCCTATGCCAGTTCGAAATCACGTGGTCTCTCCTATCTCGTTAGGCGATTTATATCCGCTCTGGATGAATACCGAAAAGGGAAGCGTCCTCAACCACGTGATGTAGTAATGTTGAAACAGGCGATTTTTTTCAAATTACACCGTCGGTCATGGTTTAGAGATCCATCTTGGGAGCCATGGAGACAGGACAACAATGCATCTTTAGGGAGCTCTTAATTGACGCAAAACCTTTCCGGAAACTGCCGCTATTCAAGGTACGTGGGCGTAGGTAACAGAAGCACAGGTAGTCTCTTGTCCTGTTGCCTTCTAGAGCTTTGCAAGTTATTTCTGGATAGCTTTCATAAGAAAATTAAACGTCTGGGAAGTTTGGAGCCTCGGCAATTAATTCACAGGTGAGGAATACTAAAGACCAAGTGCACGTCAAGGAAAGCGTTCTTTATCGGCTTCAGGGATCCGGGCCGAAGAACTACGGGAAACTTTGCACCCTTTCGCTAATGCGCTGTACGGCGAGCAGATTTCCCTTGCTGCTGGCTTCAACGCATCAGATCTTAGTCTTTTTTGCTGCTTTCCATCGATCGGCCCTTTTCTCGGCACTGTGTCTGCATAGGTCAGTATGGCCCTGACCACTGCATTTTATGGTCATCTCTTTGTTTTATGCCACATCTGTAGGGAGAGCCGTACCTAGCAGCCGGCCGAATGGTTGCTGCGGCATCACATTAAACATAGCGACTCTGCAGTGCTGACGCAGTCTTCGACATGTGTGAAAGCACCATGAGCAATAAGATTCAGCGTCTTTCTCCACATGTGGCGCAGGCTCGAAACAAGAGCAGGCTAGAAGGTAACAAAGTAGGCAACATGCAGTCACACAAACACTGTTCTTTCTGCTGATGCATCATGGCCTAGTTAGTTTTATAGTGGCACTGGCGTACGCGGTACTGCGTTTCACGCAATCCAGTGAACATGGCTCCATGCTCAGGCGCATGGGCGAGTACTACTAGGAGCTTCTTTGCAGTCCTGTGACTAGCGCACTATTTGACATCGATTGACGTAGCAACACACGTCCCCAAGTATATTGGAGAAACGAAGGAAGAGCAAATATTGCACTTCCTTCAATTTTTGGTGGCATTACAAGCAATATTATGGAACATCTTGATGGAGACGCAAATCTGTGCATCGTGGTGTCAGGCAAAGTGCCACGCTGCATCCGCACCGTGTGCATCGTCAGATCTTCTGAAGATATGACGATACAGAAGTCGTGGACGCAACATGAAACGAGTACCCTTCTTGTGTAGCAAATGAGATGCACTTTCACCGCTCTGTTCTAGCGTTGTACATGTTCCCGTGTGGTTCAACCGTCTGCAGACTCGTGACCACATTAGGAACTTGGCAATTCCAAATTTATTCGGGATGCACTTCGTCTTTCATTTGGCTTTTGAAATTTAAATCAAAGATGCATCAGGGTGAGCAATGCGGACGATAGTGCACTGTTGTCCTCGAGGTTCATTGATGTATCCACCAAGTGCAGGGCACAAAATAGCTGCGCTTTTCTGACCAGTAAAAGGCAGGAAATTTTAAGCTTTTTGTCCACTTTTCGTGGAAGCAGGCATATGAAATTAATTTGTTTAGCGCGAACGATGAAGTAAAGCCTGATTAGTTCAACTTGAAAAATGAATGTTGTGTGCGTTTAACCGTGAATAATGTACCATGAAGGCTTGACGAGAGCATTTAAGGCCAAAGTGATTGCAGCACTCAGAATTCCCCTTCTCGATGCATTGGACGTAGTGCCAAGCCAAATAGATCTATGCGAAGAATACAATTATTCAAAGTTACGCAGTGCGTCTCTTGCAAAAATGATGTTACAAGCTAGCTGCATGCAGTCCTTGTTGCCTTAGTTCAGAGTGATACCTGTAGACGTCATTATCCACAAGAGAGCAGAGCGTAGAAATTTTGTACACGTAGTGTCACTGTTTCCACGAGTACATGCGTTATGTGTGAGAGATGCCATCTTGCGGATGCTGAAAAGTGGTTGGTAAATCTAAACTCTCGCAGAAAACTTGCATAAGGTATACGGTGGTGAGCAAAAACAAAGAGGAAACGCCAGCAACATAAAAGAAGCTGCCTCAGCTAAGTACAAAAATTTCATCATCAAAAAAATAAGTAAATTTATTTTTGAGAGAAGATAACTGTAAACCAAAGAATTGTAGCGAAAGCTACAGAGCGCGATAAAAAAAAAACAAGTGCAATTCACTGAAAACATAACAAAATCCCTTTTCTCATTTTAGGTTGCTCTACGAAAGAAAAAGCGGTCCTTTGGACCAAAGTATAATGAGCTCACGCTTTTCTTTCAGCATTGCCCAGGCACGAAATGAAGTTTCTGCAAAGCTTTCTCTCTACTTTTTTCCCCTCTGTTCTGCCTCGAATTTTCCGATTTCCTACAGCATCGTCTTTGTGTACCGTTTTATGCTTGCTTACCTTGCTCCTGTAGCTGGCCGCATGCGTTTGGTGGCTTCGCAGATATTGCATTCGTTGCCACCAAATTTCGAGAGCAACATCCAGCAAGACTACCAGATCAACCTCTGGTTCGCGTCCTGATAAAATCAAAGCTACGCTTGTTACACGATCTAAGTTTACCACTACTGAGACGTGCTGGCCAGCTGTATATACGTGGGACATCTTATGCGAAGGAGACAAAAGTCTTTGGGCAGAAGTAAGCACGAATTGTTCCGCTTATCCATATCACAAACAATAATTAACGGAAGCATTTAACCCATGACAAGGAACTGATATCAGTAGTCTCAGCTCCGAAGCAGTGGCACTGCGTTCGTCATACCGCTATGTTTATGGCATACGCAGACCATCAGGCCCTCACGTACTTACAGCCGCAGCACGCGTTTAAACCCCTGCGTGGGAATAAGGGTCGACAACTTAACGTCCGGGCTCTCTTTTGAGTCGTTAAGATTACGTACCTGCAAGGCACGCAGAATCGACTAGGCGGCGGACAAGCTGTCAGGGCATTCTTAAGCCCGTAACCGCTGAGCGGAGCACATAATTTAGCATCTCAGTCACCTTCCAAGCAGTACTCGCTGTACCGACAGCAGCAACTGAGCAGTTTCAATGGCACTGAAACGCCCGAATACCTGCTCTCTACTGTAAGATTGTGGCAGGTAAATGTGTTCGTGTCGAGAGGTTCATGCCTTCTTGGTGACTCTCCCAGACGTTTCAACGAAAGATCAGCACCATGACAACTCTCCCACAGCTTCTCCAAAGATCGAGATCCCCCTTGTTCAGTCCTACCTGAATATTCAAGTTCCTTGCTGAGCTCATGCTTTAGGCTCTACGTGCTCATGTTTACGTTCACGGCCAACACTGGAGGTCCGGTTGTATTACATAACAAATTCCAGGTGTGAGCATCTACAGATTATTCAAAACTTCAAGTATTGATTAAACGAAAAAGTGAACTTGTAGACTGTTTGGTTAGGACTGCTGGGTGCGGCTTTCTTTTCTTACAAAATGTATGACTATCCGTTTTCTCATAGTGCTTATGAGAGTCACAGTACGTATGACGCTACAGTAGTGAGCTGCAAACTCTTACGTAACCGTTCCCGTGGTCCCCAATGCGTTAGAGAATTTCTCAAAGCCATGCTTGCATAGATAACCCTTTCACACATCAGCCGAAAGTTAGCGGAGTATTTATTTATTGCAGAATATGCACAGGGCAGTTGCATCTCGCCTGAAACACCAGAGGTCTCATCCTAAGCACTTTAGGGGCCTGAGAGAAACAAACAAAAGCCATTCAAGCTTGAGAACCCATTATTTGGTGTTTTGTTCACAGGGATGCGAGTGAATATAGCTTTTTGTCCAAAGGCCATCGGCTTAGCGTAGATGGGTGCACCACAATTTTCAATGATTACACTTGCTGGTGTGAGAGGATGGTTATCTAAACAGAAAAGCATGAAGAATTACCTCAGTCACTGTCAACAACCGCAATAAGGCAAGATGATGGTATTGATTCTGCAGTTAACAGTGCTGTGCAATCATGCAGACTGGCAGTTTCACGCACTGAGTATAGTGCACGCTGGGAAATTAGCGCAAATCACTTGCTTCTGGGACACTTTACAGATCCACTCCATTGCGAGCTACCTCACTGTCTGATCCTCCGTAGTGCATTGCGATTTACCGTTTCTCAATACGAAAAATGTTGCTGACTGGGACGCACCAATAACGATTCGTCTAGAGGAATGTTTTTTGTACAACCTGCAATATCTTCTCAATTGCTTAATCTAATCTGTCCTTATGCCAGTGGAGTTCGTTTTCTAGATTATTATTTGTTGCAGAGCTGCTCACTGCTTCTGACCGGGAGCTCCGTAGAAATCGTCCTTGCCTTTCTAGCGCAGATGAACCAAGACGTTCGGCTTTTTGAAGCATTGGCAGAATATGCGCTACCATACCTATGCCTACAGCCACCAGGAGGGCACGGATCTGTTCGCGCACCGCAGTTCTTTCTTCCGATTCGCCCCATAGTTCTAGAATTCACCGAAGTGGCGACAGTGTTGAGGAAGAAGAGCAAGGCAACGTGGTTAAGACTTGTCTCGACAAAGGGGCCCTTTTATCGAGAAACCAGGACTGTATTCGAGGTGACATCCAGGGTGGTCAACCTGCCCTCTACCACAATCGACACGTAGTGGTCTCATCACGTGTACCATTTTACGAGGGCCACCACAGATCATCCACTAAGCACGCATTTGGAAGCGCAGGTCCTTGAGAACTTGGGCGCTAATGGCTATGACACAGTCCACTTCGACAAGACACCACGTGTCAAAAGGCTACTCAGTGCTCCGTCGCAGAGTCCGTGCCCTTCCCAATTCTGCGATTCTGCCTACGCAACTTTCGTAGAGATCTTCCGATAAAGTTCGGAACCATACAGACGGCACCGCTTCAGCAGTTGCGTATTACCGCTGGAGGGAGGTTGATTTCGAATGTCTCCATGGATAATATGCCACAAGACGGACTCTACGCCAGTCAACTATCGGGAAGTTGCATGAGCCCCGGGTGCAAAGGGAAGTAGACTGAAAGAGCACTGTCCCATTTTGGGCTCCCACCGCTACAGTAAAGCCGCTACAAAAATACTTCCATTCAATGGCTCCTCCAGCTCAAAGCATATGATACCCCTTATTCTTACTGAGATAACACTAACTGCATTTGCCTGCTGAATAACTTGGTGGTAAAGGTTTATGGAAAGTAGCTGTGATAGATGAGCGTACAGGGCGAATTGGCTTTTTTCTTAATGCTTTTACATCTAAACCTTCTCAATGAAACTTGCAGGCAATGCAGTATGGGTAATTCGCATGCAGTTTTCTTTGCTGTGGAGTCTGCTGAGAGCGTGTTACAGTGGGAGAAACGAAAACATACGCAGAGCACATTGATGTGAAACTATTAATTGCATTGACTTCACATTTGTGGACGCCAAACTTCCAGCGGGGTTCAGACGGGAACCTTACACAAATGATCACGGAAATTAGTGAGCCGGTCACCAGTTGCAAGCAGTGGAGGGAGAGAAAATATGTAGGTGCGGAGTGGAACTCGGCAACATATTTAAACTATATCTACTTCAAGCAACTATGGACGTTTGCCGACAGAAAGCTTCCTCAGTGGCAGCTAATGTCGCTTCAGTGCCCAATCTTACTCAGGTCTCAAAGTCACATCTTTTCAAGGAAGCCAAACAGCAAGGTGACCCTTTGATCTTCAACTTCTTATTATTGATAATGGCCTTGTGGCTTTGCATCAGAGAAAACAAGCAAGGGAAAAACAACATAACCAAAACGTTCAAGATCCACCATGTTGGACCTGCACTGCGTATATCTGGGAACGAAACAACTCACATAGGAAGCCGCAGACAACAGTCTTGGCGCCCATTTAAACTGCTACCAGCTCCTACCTCCCTGGGTGCCTCGAAGACTTAGCAGCGCGAAATAACTTTGCGGGGGAGAAAGATACGCTCACTTGGAAATACAAATCATACATCGATAGCGATTCAAAGCAGAACAAGCACCTTCACCGCAGAGTACCGCTACATAGCAAGCAGCACACGACGCCGTTCAGGCAGTGGGCGGTCAGGGAAAAGACACTCAGACGGTTGTGGCTTGCGCATAAGCCAAGACATTCAAAAAGATTTCCTGGGCTTGCGCGCAGGCACCTTTAAGCAGGCCAAGCATCCACAGAAAATTTGATTTCGTTCTGGAACACTAAATTTGGGGTATCTTGAGAACCCCCGTTGATGTGCCTTAACCGGCAGACTGGTGCTTCGGTGGCTTTCCAGTACGAGACTTTGCAGAACCATCTCCACCCTCTGCGGTGCGCTCCACAGGCCGCGCACTTGAACTGGGCGAGCTCACTTCCTTCTGTGGACTCACGCTACCACCACCTCCGGAGCCGTCTTTACTAGATGAGTCGGAATCTTCGGCGCATTCAGCCCCTCCTTGTGTTTGATCAGGTCCTGTCTTCACGGAATTGTTTACTGTTTCGGGCGGTTGTGGACTGGGCTGTTGCGTACTGCTGTGCTTCTCAGAACCATCTGAAGGCTGTACGGTGCCCTCCACGGGCAGCGCACTTGGACTGGGCGGGCTCACTTCCTCCTGTGGACTAACGCTGCCACCACTTCCGGAGCCGCCTTTCCCAGATGATTCGGAACCTTTGGAGCAGTCAGCTCCTCCTGTTTGATCAGCTGCTGTCTCCACGGAGTCATCAACTGTATCGGGCGGCTGCGGACTGGGCTGTTGCGTACCGCTGTGACCCTCATCTCCGGAGAAACTTTCTTCCAAAAATAGCGTGAAAGGTTCTTCAGGACCTTCTGATGTTAAATCTTGGCCAGATTCCGTAAGGGGGCTGCCCTGCGGACTCGATGTCGAATCCGGTTGTATGGGTCGGAATCTTTTCGTTTCGAGTCCATCATCTTCAAGAAGACTTCCTCCCGTACCAACCTCTAATCCTTGGCGAGCTCGTTTCCGAGGTGCTGTGCCTCCAGGAGGTGGAGGTCCTTCAGAACTCTCCTCATCAGAGCTCAGCACCTCGTCGCATAATAGCCAACTGGGCACGCCACTACGCTCTCGCCACCAATTCCTGCCTGCTAGTCGACGTTGTGGTGCTCCCATTGATGTCTCTTTTATCATCGGATATAGGCATGTGGCAACAGTCAAAAGTATGGTGACCAATGAAGCAAGAATTGCGCCAATAGCCGTTGCGGATATAGCCCTCCTGCGGAGCGACCCGTTATGGACCTCTACATATGGTTTACGTGAAGAGGCTAAAAGTGAATTAACCACAAAAGTACCGCCGTCATCGCTCTGTCGCGGAGTGGGCCCTGCAGACACTGCGAGTTCCATGAGGCTCGTTTCTCAAGCGGATCCTCTCCCGGATACGGGAACACTTCTACTTATCAACGATGGAGACCCCATTCAGTTCTTCAGAATTGGCTTACTCCAGACTATTCTCTGGAAAGTACGGCAGACTGCTCTGCGTACGCAGCTGTGGGTTTTCTTAGTGGTCAGTACTACGTCTCTCACAAAGCTCACGCGGATGGAGAAAATTCACGAATATCAGACGAAAAGTCCTAGAAACTAGATCCCACTTTTGTGAAGGCGATTAAGAGGCTATCGCTATCGTAGTGAGGTCAAAAGCTGGATCAACAAATTTCAACAGCCAGTTTTATTACTGCTGTCGCACCCCCACAGTGCAGCTACTCGTCGTATAACTTGGCTTATCTTTCTGTGTAGATCTTCCATAGTTCTACTATTTTTGGAACACTTTGTTTCATTTTTTAGTTGTCCCACGAAGGGCAGTTCCACAACGTCAATACGGCAGCTGGAAGGTACCTGATCCTGATCCATCATGTGCACAACTGCTCGCAAACACTCGGAAGCTACAGCATTTCAGAGTAGCATGACCAAGTTGCGTTGCCTTTTCACTTGATGTATTGTTCTCTCGAATGAGTGAGCCAAACACCTTCAATTTTGTATCGTCATGCTCCATGGTAATCATCTTCGATTCATGGCTCAAGCACTCCAATCGTCTCATTCCTGCATCGGAGTTTGCGGGTCATAGGTGCCTGTTGAACTACACCGTTTCGGGAAGCTCTATTCTGTTTAGTTATCACTTTTATTCTTCAAAGAACAGAGGAAGGAATTACTAAGTGAAAAGGAATGTAACCCGGTAATGCACCGCGGCCAAGCGGGGTTAAGGCGGTCCAAGAGGGCCTGCCTAGAACGAGGTTAGCTTTACGGAACCACGCTACCTCATTCACTTGCATGTACTGATCTTTTACGATACGTAGTCTTATCAAACTTATTTTATACTAGGGAATCCCTGCATTTTGCTTAGTGATTGTGGGCTACTCACAGCCTGCACTGGGGCAGCAATGTAACGCACGGATCAAGCTTGGGTACTGCGTGCTAAATAGAATGCCCATGTTCCCCACAATAGTAAAGGTGTCTAGGGTATTCACAGAGAGCAGCGATGTGGCAGGACGGTCACACTGAAATGGTGCTGTGCATGGGTGACTCTGGGACTCGTATGGATTGGAACAAGCACCCTCGGTGCGCAAATGTGCTTTAGCTTGTGTGAAAAGCTACAGCTCTAACGGCCGATATACCAAAGAAGATTTGCAGTCAGCTTCGTAGTTCAAGACGGGACCCCATAGCTTTGTACGCTGTGGGGTCAGAAGTTGCAATCAGGGAGAAGTCCTACTTCGGTTCCTGCGAGTAAAAATACAATGTTTAAATGGTTCACACCTAGATATCTTCGCACGGTAAAGAGTGCATCTCCGCAACGGACGCTTTATCGGCGCCATACAACAGGAGGCTTCTACAATGCCAGTAAGCAAAATGCCGAGCGGGACGCCAGCCCATCATCGTGATGCTACTCCGAAACCCACCATGGCAGAGCGGCCGCATGGGCGTAAGGACGCGCCCCCACAGGTGATACCTATTAATAGTGTTATGCCAGGGACAGTCCCTTCGTCACGTGGGACCAATTCCAGTCCGCTATGAGTGTGATAAGAACTGTTATGGGCGGGACGGGGGAATCGGGCGCAACTTTCCCATACTACCAGAAGACGGCAGCACCATGCAGGCCCTTCTGCTGCGCGTCGAGCGCCGGTACACCCAGATGGGATTGGAGCCGCGCGAGTGGGGAAACGCACTTATTGACCAGCGTGTGGGCCCGGCTCTAACGTATTGGATGTATCTACGGCAAGCTATCGACCTAAGCTACCGGGCGACGGCACAGCGCAGGCTTTTGGAGCGGTTCGACAAAACAATGTCGCAGAGTCAATTGTTAGCGGAGTTTGCTAAAGTACGGTGGAATGGAGACCCGAAGGAATAAACGGACCAGTTTGTGGCTGTAGCGGAGCGTGGTTTGGATGTCTCCCCCGACGAACTCGCTGACTACTACTGCACCGGGCTACAGACGGACCTCCATCTTCTAATCACCAATAACGGGCAGGCGAAGTATCAGTCGTGGGAACAAGCGGAGACAGCCGCAGTATGCCTCAACGTGCCCAAGCAGAGCGTGCTAGAGCTCCGACAAAGGACCAGTCAAGCCATCAGGGTTGCTATCCAAGCTAATGGACCCCGTGTGCGCCAGGAAAGCGAAAATCGCGCTGGGGGAACCCACGCGAACTGCTATGAGTGTCAGGGTCGCGGACACCCGGCGAGCGTTTGCTCCAACAAGGGAGAACGTACCACACGTCCGGGGGAGATATGCAAGAAGTGTGGCGGTGTGGGACACTATGCTCGGGACTGTTCTACGTACGAACGAGGCCGGACCTGTAGTACACTGCGTTGTCTGCAGCGTCTACGATGCTGCACTGCCCACAAATCGGGCGTTCTAAGAAATACTCTCTACTACCGACGCATCGGTTGCGTAACGTCTACAAATGTATTAAAAAGACCGCTTTTATTTCGAGTCCTCCAACCATATTTTCATAAAAGTCATTTCTTCTTGTGCTTGCTGTGTTGGTCCGGTGGGGATGTGACGCGCACCTGTGCCGGCGTTCTCGCGTGCCCCATTCGTAGAGCATTCGCAGGCCTTTCTAGTCTATACATGTTAATTTGTTAATATGGTAATCATTTATATTTCCCTAGTAGGAGGTTACAGCGCTCAATCCGCGTCTCAACCTCTTAACCGCCTATAGGTCATCAGTTAGCTATCCTGTATAGGTCACCAGCAAGCCCCATTGTAGTGCCTACACACTACAACTTCTCCCCTTGCCGGACTGAACCGGCCTACCCACAACATATTATTTCCGCCTTTTCAGTCTTCATTCCCTTATGAAGCTAATGCCATGAGCGCATGATGTAGTGCCCAGAGCCTGCTGCTGCGACTACGCTGCTACCTGCCTGTAGTGCGCGGCGCCTACTGCTGCGACTACGCTACTTCCTGCCCTTCGAGCAGGCCTACAAACTACGCCTAGCGTAGCCCCATTTCTCGGACACTATAGCTTTATTCCATCGAAATACAACAGTTCTTAAGTGTTTCAAATCTGTCTGTTCGATTAGCCCCACTCTGGGTGCTCGCCTCCTAGGCCCTATGTGTAGTGCACAGACACTACAATGGGGCTGGTTAGTGCTCTAGAGAGGATAGCTAGCCAGCGACCTACGAGGGGTCGCAAGACTGGAGGGAC